TGCTTTAAAATAGAATCAAAAAATATGCAATAATTATTAAAGACTGGTAATGCAAATTCTAACTCGGCATCTCCTTTCCAATCCCATATTTCAATTTCACAAATATTATCGTGCTTAAATATTTAAATAATTAATTAATTATTTTATTGCTAATTATGGACATTCGAAAGACTCGTTTAGATGAGAAAAATGAATTGATATTTGGATTTGTCTTTAGTTAAAAGTCTGTCAATTACTTATAAGCTTTTACATTTGATTTAATTTTCAAAATTTATTTTTAATCATCCCCGAATAATTTTGATATTCTTTCTTATTAATAAATTAAGATTTAATTCTTAATTTAATTTTAAAAATCCATTACACTATATCCAGCCAAATCACTTCCATCAAAATTAATTGTAATATTTGCAGCATTAAATTTTAAGCTTAATTGATTTCTTTTTATTTTACTATCATTACATAGACCATCCAAATAATAACGAGAAATATCATAATGAGCATCTAAAACATTTGAAATTTTTGTAATATCTTTTTTATTTCCTTGTATAATGTTGCGAAAAAACATCGAATAAAGAGTAAAAGTAGTGTTTCTACTAATATTTACAATTGTATTCCCCTGACTGTCAACAAGTTCATCAACAAAGAATTCAACATCATATAGGTCGTCTTAAATAATAATAAATATTTATTGTTTTCTAGTTATTAAATTTCGAGTTTCTCTAAAAGAGAAATATTTAAATGTATTAATCGTAAAGCTTATACTATACAATTTAATTTCTAAGGCTATGCAGGAGGCGGAGTGGTGTAATGATCCTTTAAACTGATCTTTCTCAGCATAAACTTTTACATTAGATAAAGAAATAATTATGCCATTGCAACTTTAAATCTAAATATGCAACCGAATACATTGCTTAAATTGACTTACCTAGCAGGGTTGGCGGATCCGGATATCCGAAGACATCCAACTAGCCGACAACCTTATTACCTGGGCGGATTTTTTTGAATTTGAAAAAAATTCTTAAATTAGGTAATTGCTTATTTAAATACTCCTAACAAAATAATATTTTTTTTAAATAAATTTACATCAAATCTAGCATTAATTGGAGTACTCATTTTATCCATATAACAATATTCTTCAAATTTTTCCTCTTCATAATAACAATTATCGTGAAAATAATAAATAGCATCATCATAAATATCTTTATATGAAAGCATTGCATAATCTATAAAAAATTCTTCATTTCTTTCCTCGCTTTTTTTAATTTTTGTTGAATTTTTTAAAATTTCCCTCTTTTTATTTAAAAATAATTTTTGTCCTTTTTTATTCAAAATATTCCTTGATTCAATAAAATTAATATTTAAATAAATAAATAAATAAATTGTTAAAAATAAAATTATTTTGAAATTATTAAACATTTTTTTGAATAAATTTTTTGATAATTTAAAAATATTTTTTAATAAATTAATTAATTTATATATTATTTTTAAGACACAAAATAGTAAAAATATTTAGTTCCGGAAGAAAATGCTAAAGAAATAATTGGACGTTATCTTTAAATGATTTCATTTTTAGTTAAACACACTAACTTTAATACGATTATTATTTATTTATTTTAGAATTTTGTATACTAAAAAATTTTGGAGATAAATAAAAATAAAATTTAAAAAAATATTTTAGTTGGTATTTTTGTCATGCCCAAAAAGAAATAGTATTATATTTCCTCTCGTTTCTCTCACCCGTATTTTGACCTCATAAAATATTCCCCCTTCCCATATATTGTAAACCCCTCCCCATTCAATATTTGTTCTGTTGTTAATTTATGTTGTTTTTTTATTTAAAAGAGAAAGTAAAAGAGTTTATTTGTGTGTTTGGTGAAATTAAGAAAAAGGGTACGGACAAAACCCTCTTAAGTCCTACATGGCGCTCCTGAATTAGAGAGTAGTCCAAAGATTGATTTTGTTTGGTTATTTTTTTTGAATTTGTTTTTATTATTAATCTTCGTTGGCCCCCGGTGGACCAAGAAATTTGTTTTTTTTAAAACAACAACAAATATTTTTTTTGGAAAAGTTATTCCCCGGTGGAATAGTTTTCGTTTGACAACTTTTTTTGAGATTTTTTCTGAAAAAAAATCTTATTCAGTTTTCCCTCGGTGGGTTGATTGAATTCTCTTCGTATCAAATTTTAGCCCCGGTGGATAAAATTTGAATTTGGTTCAGCTAAAAAAAATGGAATCTACGCCTCAACAAAATTTTAATCAATATTTCCTTCCACATCAGCTTTCTTCAGCCTATACTCCAACTATGAATATGCAAATCAATTCACAAAATTATTCTCAACCTTATTTTTTCCCACACTTCTTTGGCTACCCCAATAACATTCTTCCTCAACGGCGTAGTGACAGAAGACCCACAGACAGAAGACCCAAGGACAGAAGACCCACGGACAAAAGACCCACAGACAGAAGACCCACAAGGACAGAATACCCACAGACAAAAGACCCACAAGAAAATTTTTTAACCAACAGTTTAAAACTTTCAGAGATATTTAAAAAGACTTGTCAATCTTCTAGGCACAAAATTAAAATATTTGTAAATTATAAAAAAATTATATTCTAAAGTTAATCGATGGAGTTAAATTTCTAAGATGAGTGAGATTTAAATCATTAAATTGGAAAGGGATTTGAAGAGGCTGATGATTAATTGGGATATGTAGGGATACCTTTCGATTTAGATGATTCTCAAATCCAAAGAAATCAATAAATCGGATATACATATCATGGGATTTTAAGGATCGTAACGGATTTAAACCATTTAAGCTTTATAATCCCACAAATCCGCTTTTATCCTCCGATACCTCTCCATGTTACTGAAAAATAATTACTAGTCTGCTAATCCCAAAGACCCCCAATATCATTGCTAATCTCAAATACCCTTGATCACTTCTAACCCTATATCCCTCCATGTGGACTTAACTGACACTCACTAAAATCCCGTTAATCCTAAATATCCCTTTAATCTAATCTTTGCTGCCATCGTCGTGAATTTTGAAAATTAAGGCCAATGAGCAATTTTTATTCTAAATATTTTTATATTGGACCCTGACCGGATCCACTATTTTTTACAAGCCATCGGATTTTCCTGATCAAAATCCCGAAAATTCCCATCGTTGGAACAACTTCAGCCGTTGTTGCAACAACATCCTCCATTGTTAAAATAACATCCACCGTTGTTGAAACTAACTTCCCCGTTCGTGGAACAACATCACACATTGTTGGAACAACCTTCCCTAAAATTAAGCAACTTTTCCCGTTTTTGGATCAACCTCTTATTCTGGAAAACTAATAAAACCAACATTTCTCGCACCAAAGTTCATACACCCGGGATATATGTATGGTGTACCGACACTTGCGGAACGACATTTGCGGATCGACAGTTGCGGCCCGACATATGCGGATCGACATTTGCGGACCCGACATTTGCGGACCTGGTAATCTTTTTTAAAAAATAAAGGATTTTCAAATTTTTCGGACGTACAAATAGTTCTTTGGATCGGGTAGAAGGTTGTAAATGTCCGGGTAACGGGTCGGGTCAGTAAAAAAAAGTTGAATCAGCCTACAATCTTGGGAACAGAAACTTTGATAGGTGTCTAAGATATGTCTTTCAGCAGACTTTCATTTTTCTTAGGTTAACACCGATACCGAGAAAATGGGGAAATATTAGTTGATCAAATTTAAAATTTTTCAAGATACAAGCCCAAGACGACCTCAAGATTCAGGACCAAACTTTTACAGGATTAAAGAAGGTTAAATCCCACTGAACAAATTTTTGATTTATTTTTCTTGCCGTTGGCACAGTCACCTTAGAAAATATATCCCCAAATTAATGAATAATATGGGGATTTTCATCACCGGAGATGAAAATTTTGAAAATATATTGTTATTCTTTAACTTTTTAAAAAAATAATTTTTCATACATACTTCTTATTTTCTTAAAGGATTCCCAGGTCCGCAAATATCGGGTCCGCTAATGTTAATCCGCATCTGTCGGTCCGCAAAAGTCGATCCGCTTCTGTCGGTCCGCCGATGTCGGGTCCGCAAATGTCGATCCGCAAAATTCAATCCGCAACTGTCGATCCGCAAATGTCGTTCCGCAAGTGTCGGGTAACCATATGTATCCAGCTTCCGGCTTCCACAAAATTCTGCATTTTTTAAATCTTCTGTTTCCGTCTTCCGCTTTTTAAAATTTAAAATTATCCATCCCTTTTATACACAATAAAAGAAACAAAAAATAGTTGTGGGTCTTTTTTCTGTGGGTATTCTGTCCTTGTGGGTCTTCTGTCTGTGGGTCTTTTGTCTATGGGTCTTCTGTACTTGGGTCTTCTGTCTGTGGGTCTTCTGCGTCGACACGTTCCTCAACAAGCGATGTATGCTCCCTTTTCTTTCATGCCACCAGAATCGATTCAGCCAAGTGAACAAAATTGTTATTTCGTTCCGGAAAACATGTCACAAGCTGACATCGAAAAATTACTTTTGGAGACGATTCCCGATTTAAACGGAACGGAAGAAAATTTTGAGATTAAAAAGTTTTTCAAGAAATTCGATGCATATCTAGAGGACTGGCCAGAGAAAAAGAAAATCTTTACTCTAAAATCAAAATTGTTTGGTAAGGCCAAAAGTTGCTTTATTCTCGCAATCAAGTCAAAACACTTAAATTACAAATCGATTAAACATTTCATCTTTTGTCAACTCATTCCCTCAGAGTACAAAGTCGAAGAACCTATCGATCCAATTAAAAAGAAAACAACCTCAAAGTTAGAACACTTGGAAAAGAATTTTGAGAAAAAGGAAAACTTAATACCCAAAATTCAAAAACCAGCACAGTACAAAATTAACATTCCATTTGAAAATGTCTCTTATCCTTCTGAAGTTTTGGAATTCTTTGAAAGTCCAGAAGAAACAAAATCATCAAAAGTTGAAAAGAAATTTAAATTGGCTAGGGAAATGAAAATTTCTTCCCCAACTAATCTTGAAATCAAAAAGACAATCAAACCAGAAATTAAGAAAAAGAATTTTGTGTTGGATATTGAAAAGGAGACTGATTTTGAGCTCCCTATGAATTTATATGAAGATAAGGAAGAATTTGAACTGGTTGCTGAATTGAAAAATTCTACCCCAACAAATTTACCCAAAAAGACTATTAAGAAATCTATTAAGGAAACGAATTTGGTTGAGAAGTTTGAAAAAGAAAATGATCTTGATCTCCCAATGAATTTGTTCAAAGCTAAGGAGGAAGACAAATCTGAGCAGGAAAGTGTTGTTTCTGAAAAGGATCTAGCAATGGATTTTGAGGAAGCTGATTTTGAACTTCCTATGAATTTATTCGAAGAAAAGGAAGAGGTTGATTTTAAGGAGTCTGAAAAAGAACAGGTTGAGACTGAAATTATTGAGGAAATTGGCTTTGAAAATGAGATTCAAATTGCTAAGAAAGATGAACATGTTGAGAAAGATTTTGAGGAAGTGAGAAAAGAGAAAGCAAACGAATTAGGTCGCATGAAAAATGATCTTGATTTATGCAATCAGGAAGATTCTTTGGAAATTAAAGAGAGAAATTTTGAGAATTTTGGAAAAAATTTGGACCATATTATTGAAGAAAATTTTAAGGAAAAAAGAAAGGAGAAGGCAAATGAATTGGGCCGAATGAAATTTGATTATGAGTCCAGTGATCAAGATGTTTTGAAAATTAAAAGTGAAGATTTTAAGAATTTTGAAAAGGAATCAGTTTTACTGGGAGAAATTGTTGAAAAGGAAACTTTTACTGAAAGCGAGGATCTGTTTAATTCTTCTAATTTTAAGACTTTGAAATTTCCAAATATTATGATTGTGAAATGCTCCAAGATGAAGAAAAGTAAATTGTCCTGGGCAAAGTTTAAGAAAAATTCTAAGAAGAGGACTAAGAAAAATGGAAATTTTAAGAAAAATTTTAAATCAAATGTTATGAAACAATTTAAGGAATTTTCTTTTTCTAAGAAATATTCCATTCTGAAAAGGATCAATTCAAAGATGAAGCTTCTCAAAGTTTCTGTTCTGAAGAAAATTAATACTAAAATGAAAAGAAAATTAAAGAAACAAGAAAAATTTGGATGGAGGAAACGAAAAATCAAGGGACGATTTTTACATGGAGTTCGGAGGCGTCTTAACTTGAAAGACATGATCACGCTGATCAGAGCCTCGAACCATTTTCCAAATTTTCAAGAAGAAAAACGACGACTTTTGAAGAATTTGAGACCAAAAGAGGACTTGCAATTTGTCTCGGCGACAAAGCAAGTTATCCAAACATCCCAAGTGGCAATGACTTCCATCGAAAAGACTAGGGTACCCATCAAAATAAGAAAATTTAAACCGGTCTCGGCGACCTGGGTTTTTGAAGGAATTTCGAAAGGAATCTCCGAAATGTTTCAGCTAAGACGGTTACCTTTGGACTACACTCGCCACCCCAAGCCTATCGGATCAGCCTTGCGCAGCCGCATTTTGACAAAACATGACGTCGAGGACGCCGTCATCTGAAGCGTGCGGGATGTCATGCCCAAAAAGAAATAGTATTATATTTCCTCTCGTTTCTCTCACCCGTATTTTGACCTCATAAAATATTCCCCCTTCCCATATATTGTAAACCCCTCCCCATTCAATATTTGTTCTGTTGTTAATTTATGTTGTTTTTTTATTTAAAAGAGAAAGTAAAAGAGTTTATTTGTGTGTTTAGTGAAATTAAGAAAAAGGGTACGGGCAAAACCCTCTTAAGTCCTACATTTTCAAAAATAGGTGTAGGAATTTATGTATTTATTAGATAAATCATGTATAAAGGATGTTACAAACAACAGAATTACCTATTAAAGCAATGAACATTAATTGTACAGAATTGTACTCTCAGAGTTTCAAAAAAGTAAAAGTTTCAACTTTTTTGAATAGAGCTGCTTTGAAACAAAAAACCCTTGAAAATCGAAAGATACGAAAGGAAAAACCATCGAAAATCGAAATTTCGTTATAGCTCTAATCGGGAACAACCCAAAATTGTTGTGAATATTAATTAGCTAAAAAAGGTTGATTTAGAAATAATTAAAATAATAAATAGTTTTATAACCTATTTTTTTATTAAAAAAAGATGTTTTTCAATTCAACCTTGTTTTTTGTCTAAATTAAATTTCCTAAAACATTTTTGGAATGAAAATAATTAAATTTTATTGGATAAAATGGATTGTTTTTAAGTCTTCTTTTTATGTATCTTATTTTAATTTCTAAATTTATTTTCGTACATATAAATTTATATTTCTTTAAAATAGTCTAAATTTATTAAAAATAACACTTAAACAATCTTTTGTCAACAGTTTAACAAATTTTTTTATCTTTCTACATATTAATTTAAATTATAATTTGATTACTTAATATTAAGCTTTAGTTTTTTACAAATTTTCATATGGTGATGATTGAAGAACACAAACTATTAATTTCATAGTCCTCACATAAGGTTAAGTATGAGAATGAAAAAAGTTTTGCTCAAGAATAGGAAAAATCATAAATTAAATTAACTAAAGGTTTCGTTGTTCGTAGCCGCAAATGAGGCTCTGTGTAGACAGGATCTCTTGTCCATAAATAAATAATTTATATTTATTTTTTCGATTTTAATTTATTTTCAGTAATTTATTATATTTAAAATGTGTGGAATTGCCCCAAATGAACTTTGTAAATGGTCAGAAGCATTACCTGGCCAATTTGGATTTACAAAACAATTAGTTTATTCTATAATTTAATACATTAATTATGCTTAATAAATTAATTTTCAAAGGTTTTTCGTGTTGCTTTACCTCATATAACTTTACTTTGTTTATCTATTTTTTATGTTGTTATTGGCTCTTTTATTTTAATTACTTTAAATGAAAATAGTTCAGAAAATGAAATTTTTGAGTTAAAAAATATTTTTTAATAAAATATATACTTAATTTAAAGAATTAAAAAGCAATTTGTGGACGAAACATTAAAGAAATTATTTGAAATTCTTCCTTATAAAAATAATAATAGTTCAAAACAAAATGAAATAATTAAAATATTTTTTGGTTATTTTTATGAAGAGAACAAGGATCCTTTTAAAAAATTTATTTTAAATGTTTATGAAATTAATGAGAGAAATGTAGGAATTTAAATAATTAATCTGTTAAAATTAAAATTGCAATACATTTACTTGTATATGTATACTCCAGAAATAATAATAGAAATATAACAGCGATACGAAAATTTTGGAGACCCAGCTTTGTGGATGCTAACTCCCCTTTTTTCATAAAATAACATTCTCTCCAATTTTGATCAAGATTAGTTTAATATTTCCCCATCACTTTTTGAACATCCATAAAATAAAAAAACCAAATAAATTCATTTAAATTTAATTATTTATTTAAGAAATATTCAAATAGCATAATTTGGAATTTATTCTTTTCAACTACTTGGTTGACTTCTATTGGTATTTATTTTTAGAAAAAATATTTGTTTCCAAATTTAAATAATTTAAGGTTATGGTGTAAATGCACCAAACAGTTTAGGTCAACGTATATTTTGCATATTTTATTTAATTTTTGGAATTCCCCTTTATTTGGTTACCTTAGCAGATTTGGTGATTTTTAAAAATAAAAAAATATTTTTCAAAAAAAATTTTTAGGCAAAATTTTGTACAGAAGGGATTAACAGACTTTACACAGAATGTGTTAAATTTCGTTATTATTTACTTGGTTGGTATCGACACAGAAAAAGAAGAATCCATGCAAATAGCGGAATTGAATATATTGCTGTTGGAACTAGAGGAAGGAGAAGACTTTCTTCTCGTAAACTTTCTGGTCAATTAGTTAGAAATGAAGAAGAAATGGCTGAATTTCTTTGGAAAAATTTAGAAAAAACCCATTTTGTTGAAGTCCCCTTTTTTCTTGTTTATATTTTACTTTTGGCTTATATTATTGGCTCTGCACAACTTGTAGCTTATCTCGAAGATTGGAAATTCTTTGATTCTCTTTATTTTATTATGATGAGTGTAATGACTATTGGCTTTGGAGGTGAAAATAATAATTATTTGATTGAAGAATTAAGAAGTAACTAACTGAAAATAAGATGGGGGATGTTATATTCCAGTAATATAACAATGATTTAGACCAAATAATTTTAACCAAATATTTAAAATATTAATTTTTTATTCCAAGATTTAAAAATACAAGTTTGATATTAAAGGGGAATTTAAAGTAAGGGTGAAGAAGTTGAAAATAATGGATATAAATCAGCTTAAATAGGGCCAAAAATATAGAATTATGAATACATTTTTTTTAGAGGGAAAAGATAAAAATTGAAAAGATGATTGGGCAAAAATATGTGAACATAAATATTTTAAAAATATAAAAACAAGGATGATTAATGGAAAAGTTTAAAAATAAATATTAAATATCTTTATAAAAATTGCGTTTCGGCGCAACACTCCGCGCACAAAAAATGTTGACTAGTTTGAAGAGTAAAAATCGTGTTAGGCAGGGAAGAAAGCAGTAGCCGATAAGGACAAAACAAAATAACGCTAATATTAAAATTAAAAGGTAGCGTGGAAAAAATAAAAATTTAAGTAGATGTGTTAAATCAATGTCCATTAAACTTTCTATTTTATTGCTATGTTTCTGAACCCATTTTGTTTCTACTATTTCTTCTGGATGATTTAAAATCCCTTTAAGTTCAAATTTTGAGTACGAAGATCCACAAAAAATTTCACATGTTTCTTCAATTTGTGAATAGCTTAAATGTACTGAAAGATTTCTAGTTTCTCCTTTAGGCACACATGTTGTAAATGTCGTTAGAGAAGGACAAACAATATTACCTAAGGAGTTTCCAAAATCAGTTTTACAAGTTAGCTCTAATTTTGCGCCGCGATTGCATTTATAACAACCGACTAATTTGGCATTTGTTACTTTACATTTATTTGCAAGAATTTCTGTTTTTAATGTTAATCCTTTAATTTGAGTTTGAATTTGAGCGGCGGAAAAATCAGGTGAGACTTTAATCGTGCCGTGATCCACATCAAGCAGTATGCCGTTATGTTCAAATGGCAATGTTAAATCCCTTTTAAAAAGCTGTCTAGTTTCTAACAATTCATAGCAAAGACATGCTACATTATGATCGGCCGAATTACAGTCACATGATAATGGGTCTAATTTACATTCATTAAATTTAATGGCTGCGGCTTTTGAAGAACATTTAAAACTTCTCAATTTATCTTCACTTTCCGATTCAAGAATTGCAACTCTGTTTTCATCTGACACGAAAAGTTGATTGAGTATGGGAAGAGGAGCAACTGTCATGCTTGTAGCGGTGATTCGAAGATCATTCCATTCTCTAGTAAATCCGGGTTTTAACGAAAGTAATTTTTCTTGTTTATCATTTTGAGTTTCAATTATAATTTTTACGTCCAATTCAAGATCCCATTTCGGACATCTAAAAATTTCAAGTATTTTTTGGTCGTTCGTTGTTACGGCAGAAAAGCGATAAAATAAACAGGCAGGGTCTACATAAAAACAACCATTCGCCCAACCGCCTTCTGTTTCCATGCATCTTGTGATACCTGGGAATTTTTGATTTTCCATATTTAATTCAATAATCGTATCATTCATTTTAATTGAACTACATTTTTGATTAATACAACTTCCCGTATGAGCACACCTCCACCCCGAAATTACTTGTATATCGTAGGAGCGTGAAAAGTATTTTATTGTTTTAACACAGGATGCTTTTAAGCGGTGTAAAATGAATTTCATGGATCCTACAAAATTGTCTTGGTAATCTTGCAATTTTATGTCTATTTCTTGGTCCGTTGGATTAAAACTTATTTCGAGAGTTTTTTCAAAGAGGCAGTTTCTAACCCCTGTTTTGTCTAGTATGCATTTTTCTTCATCGGCTGTGATAGTTGTAAGACACAAAGCTCTTTGTAGTGAGCTAACAAAAATAATTATTGCAATCGTAACTTTCATTGGTAATCGATTTTTTCTATTATTTTTTAGAATTTTAATTTTTTCTATTTTTTCCTTATTCTCTGTTTTTGTCTTTTTACAACATTTTATGAGAAATCGAATTAGTGACCATTTTCTTTTTAATATCCAAATAATGACAGAAATTAGTGCGATGGTAATTTTTCCAACAAAGTAAATTATATTTGAAAATAAATACACTGCAAGGGCTACTAAAACCATGGCGAGTTCGGGATTGCATCTAGGATTGGTTAATCGTTCAATGCATAAATTACATTTTATTAGTCCACACATATTTAATGGTTGGCATTTAATCCCTTTTTCCTTTATATTTTGACCGTTATTAAAGAATTTTATTGTTGCTTCAAACCCATTTATTAAGTCTTCCTTTGGTAATGTAATTTCTTGTGTAGTGTCGGGAAAAGGTATATAAATGCATTTTTTCAAACAAATTTCTATTCCGTTTATTTCTTTATTTATTTTTATTAAAATTCCTTCCTTGGCGCACTCTAACTCACATTCTTTACATCCCTTCTCATTTTCATTTTTAAAATCGTATACTCTTTTAGAAATTTCACCCCACGCTTTAATGACGACTTTACCATGATTTGAAACAAAATATGCCACTTCATTTTTAGAATAAAAACAAAATTTTTTCCCATTTTCAGAACATGCGTGTTTAGAACAGTATAGGGGTGATCCGGTTGTTTCCCCAACCCCAAAGCATATAAACTCGTCATTTAAATTTTCTTTCATTTCTATCTTTAATTCATTAACTAAATGTTTTGTACCATCGTATAACTCGATTTGTTTAAATTTTTTAATTTCTGAAAAGTTTTTACAATTTTCTTTATACTCAAATGAACATATTTTTGGCCTATTATGTTCTATAATATTTTTTACATCTGGGTCATTGGCTGTTGATCTTTTTATCTCTAATCCTTTATAAAATGAACACTCTATTGCCCAGTCGGGACAGACACAAGCCGGGTTACAATTTCCTTTTCCACACTCGTTTCTTTTCCAACAAAAAGTGCCACCCGCACGCTTGTGTATAGAAAAACCGTTAACTATACATTCGTCGTCAATTTGTATTCTTTTTGTTTTTTCGTGCGATTTACACGGACTTGCAGCAAGGTTTAGACACAGAGAGAAAAAGATCATTATTGTGAGTGTAATAGAGGCAGGAAGTGTATTAGGTTTTAGAATTGCTACACCTTTATTTTTGTTTTTATTATTTCCCATCGATTTATTTTTAACAAATTTTTGTCCCTTTTTAGTAACGTCTTCGTCCAAAATATTTTTTGAATAAAAATCTGCTCTGATTCTTTTAAAATCATTATTTAACCTTTCATTTTGTATTTTTAATGTTTGAATTTCTTCACTATAATTTTTTTCAAGTTCGGTTATTTTTTCATTAGCATTATTTAAAATTAATTTTGTTTCTTTTAATTCATTTTGTAAGTGTGAAATTTCTACTTTATTATTATTAATCAAATTTTCATTCGCTTTATTATCGATTTTAAGTTTAGAAATTTCATCTTTACTAATTTTTATTTCCCTTTTCAAAATTTTATTTTCATCTTCTAAAGTTCTATATTTATAATCATAAGATTTATCTCTTGGTTGCCTATCCTGTCTTTTAAATTTTTTATCGAATGATTTTTCCCTGGGTTGCCAATCATGACTTGAACCTGTTTGAAAATCACAATCGTAATCCATATGCGGGCCCCCACAAAATTTACATGGTCTCCACATTATTGGCTCATCTTCAAAATACATACAAATTTTTGCGCTTTCCATTGAATTATTTTCAACATCGATTAAAAAATTTATGTCTGCATTATCTGTTTCATCATAATTTATTCTCTTTCTTTCTCTGAGGGTCATTGGATGGGTTCTTCCCTTTTGATGTGAATCAATACTATTATTTATTTCCAATTCTTTATTTTTCTCTTCATCTTCTATTGCCAATTCTAAAGGATATAGAAGAGCGATGGCGCGAGTAATGATTTTATTTTTACACAAAACTTTCGCGGAACGATACAATCCATCTCGACTCTTGATTAAATACTGTATTTTGCCTAAACTCCAAAAATGTTTTGGGAGATTTGAATTTTGAATAAGTACCAGCTCTCCAACTTTTGGTGAATAATTTTTTCTGAATCTTTTTTGCGCGTGCCTATTTGTTCTTTCTTTAATATCATTTAAGTATTCCTTTTCAAATTTTTCCCAAAATGTATTTACTATTCTATTTGTTTCTTTCCAATTATTTATTATTTCTATCTTTTGGGAAACTTTTTCTTCAAAATTATCTGTCTCAAAATTTTCAAAATTAATTCCTTGTTTAATTCTTGTTGGGTGGACTAAATCTATTGGACGCAACACCTCAATTTCTTCCAAATCATTATACAAATAGGTAAGGGGACGAGAATTGATTACGTATTTTATTTCTGGCAATAGTGTTCTGAGCTCTTCTATATTTAACATTTTTCGGCCAACAGAATTTTTAAGAGCTTTTTTCATAATTTTTACTATCGATTCATACACGCCGCCGAACCATGGAGAAACGGCGGGTATGAATCGCCATTCAATTTTTTCACAATCCAAATTCTTTTCAATTTCATTTATAACTTTACTAGTCAGTCTATATTGGGTTCCATTGTCGCTCAAAATTAACGTAGGTTTTCCATATTCCGCTATAAACCGCCTTAAAGCTTGAACACATGTATTTGCGGAAAGATCAGTAATTAACTCTAAATGCGAAAATCTTGTTGTTAAACATGTAAATATTTCTATCCATATTTTTATTATTTTATTTTCTTGTGTTTTTACATGAAATGGGCCTGCATAATCCAATCCTGAATTTTTAAAAGGTGAACATTTTTTTATTCTTTCTTCGGGTAGTATTGGCATTTTTGGTATTTCAAAGGGTTTTAATAATTGTTTTCGACATTGAAGACATTTATTAATTGTACTCTTCATTTTTTGTCTTCCTTTTGTTATCCAAAAACATTGTCTTAATTCACACAAACTTTGTCTTAATCCACTGTGCATTGCACGTTTATGATATTCTAAACAAATTTTTTCGGAAATAGGTGAATCATATGAGACATAAACTGGTGTGGGAATTCCTGAAGATTCAACGCGGCCTGGACAGACCCAGATTCCAAATTCATTCCTTCTCATATATAACTCAAAGATTTCTTTTTCTGTAGGTTTATTTTGGTTTTGAGCTTCTTTTAGAATTAATATTTCACCAAATTTTCGAAGACCGACATTAGTTTTAGTATTTTTTAGTGCAATGAAAAATTGAGTTTTTAAATTAATATTTTTAATTATTTTCTTTAAAAATTTGCAAATTATTGTTCCAATTGTAATTGTTTTATTCCACTCACTTCGCGCATCTAAATTCATTATTTTTTCTGTTGTGACATTCATTATAAATTCTATTTTTGTCTCTTTGGGGCTAACGATTTTTTCAAATTCTATTGCTTTCGGCCATTCGTTTTTACCCTTTCGAAGGAATGTTGGACCTTGCCACCAGCTTTTCTTTTCTGTCAATTCATTACATGTTAAACCCCTAGTTGCTACGTCAGCTATATTTAATTCAGTGGGGACGTATTTCCAAACCAGATTTTTATTTTGATTTATTTCTTCTATTCTTCTTTTTATAAATCGTGGCTGTTTTTCTTTGTCACTTATTAGTATCCAATTTAACACCACTTTACTATCAGACCAAATGAATATTTTTTCTAATTCAATGTCTGACTCCTTTTGTATGAAATCACTCAATCGTTTACCTGCAATTGCGGCCATCAATTCCATTTTGGGAATAGTAAGACGTGATTTTAACGGGGCTAATCTTCCCTTGGCCATAATAATTGAGGAAAAAATTTTATTTAAATCATATTCAACTCTTATATAAGCGACAGCGGCGAAAGCGTTCTGTGACGCATCTACAAAAATATGTAGTTCATTTGGACCTTTTTCTTTTAAAAGCTGCCTTCTAAATTTAAAAGTACCATAGTCATCTTTTATTTTTTCAATTTCTTTTATATGTTCAATCGATATTTCGTCGTCCCAAGTCTTTTCTTTATCTACCCATAATTTCTGCAATAATAATTTTCTACACAAATTTGCTGGAAGAAGAACGCCCATAGGATCGAAAAGTTTTGCAATTTCTTTTAAAATCGATCGCTTTGTCCAGCGTTCGGGTGTTTTAATCTTTTTCATTTCAACAATCAATGCATCCATTTTAACATCCCAACCAACCCCTAATATTTTTGTATTATTTTCTATAGCTTTATCTCCAAAATTTTTATTAATTGTTTCGGAATTTGAAATAAATTCTTGTAATGGCATTTGTGCTTCTTTAAAAATTTCTATTACTTTTTTACATTTATTTAACCCTTCTTCAGTTGTGGTTGCAGAGAAGAAAATATTATCGGCGTATATTCCTCTTCTTAATTCTCTTCCAAATTCTCCGGCAGTTTTTTCCAAATGTAAATTTATTACTGCCGCAAGGCAGAAAGGTGCTGCAGAAATTCCAAATGGCATTTTAGTCCAACGCCAGTAATCCAAATTTAGGTTAGTAGGAGGAAGATTCCAATTTTTAGGCAATAGAAAACGCATTAAATCGCGTTGATTTTCTTTCAATCCTATCTGATGGAAAGCAGATTTAACATCCGCTGAGGTTAAAATTGGGAACGTTCTAATTCGTATTAAAAGTCCACATAAATCAGGAAGCAAGACAGGACCTCTATATATTATATCATTTAAACTTATTTTCTCTTCCGCTGTTTTACAATTAGCCGCAAAAACAATTCGCATCTTTTTCTTCTGTGGGTGATAAACATAGTGCCAGGGAATATAATGACATAAATTAGAATCATTTCTTTCGCAATTTTCGATTTGATTGTTTTTTGCTTGTTCTAAGAAACTTTCTTTCATTTTTTCCAATACACCTTCTTTGTTTCCTTTTGCCCAAGAACTTTGTAATCGTTTAATGCAAGGCGCGAAATTACTTGATATATTTATTTTCTTTTCTTTAAATGGGAATTCTATTTCGTATCTTCCTTCGGGTGTTCGGGTTACAGATTTTTTAAATAATTCTAACGCGTTTTTATCATCCTCGTTTAATGGGTTGTCAGTAATACCAAAAGATTCTAACTCCCAAAATTTTTCTACATTTTCCATCGAAAAAATTTTTGATTCATTTAAGTTTAGGCTAATTACACCTCTACCCGAAAGAACTTTTCCTAGTTTTGTTTGTATTACAGAAAATCCATTTTGAAGTCTTTCATATCCCATTATTTTATTATAAACGTTTGTGCCAATCAATATTTCGGGTGTAACTTCTTCCACAAATTCATAGGGAATTCTATTTTCATTTAATTTATCTAAGCCTATTTTTTCCACAAAAATTGTTTTTAATTTTTCAACAAAACTTTCATCGACTCCTCTTGCTCGGACCTTTATTGATTCATTATTTATACACTTAATTTCAAAATCAAATATAGGCATTCTTCTAACCATACTTTGACCAAAGACACCAGTTGCTTTGAAATTATTTATTGCTATGGGCTCTAATTTTAATTTTTCGGCTAGAGAGGTTTTTATTAAACAAATTTCTGCACCGGAATCTAAAAATACGTGAGCGTTTTGCATTAAAATTGGAATTTTTGGGTTTACTATTTTTGCTTGAGTTACTTGTAAAAAGGTTGGAAAAATTGAATTTTGCGAATTTTTTGTTAAATAATTTATTAAAATATCGTTAGAATCATTTAAATTATCATCTTGAACTTCCAAACAAATATTTGAATTTTTATTATTTTGACTAGTATTTTTAATTCCAAATCTTTTTTCTTTTATTTCTTTAACATCATTTTTTCTCTTCAACGGGTTCTCGGTGTGCGGCTTCGTCCTACAAAAAGCAGTGTTATGACTGCCTTTGCAGTTAAAACATGAATTTAATTTTAGACATTTTTCGGACCTATGATTGTTTTTTAAACATTTAAAACATAATTTAAGTTCCTTTGCTCTTTCTAATCTTTTTTCAGGAGTTATATATTTAGAGCAATTATTTTCCCAGTGATTTTCTTCACAAAATCTACAAGTATGTAAAAATTTTTTCTCAGTTATAGCGAACATTCCTGTTCCTTTGTTTCCAAAATTATTTCTTTTATTATTATAATTTATTTGAAAATTTCTTCCAGTATTTTTATATTGAAAATTATTATTATATTTTAAATTTTGCCGAAAATTGGGAAGAGTGTCTGTTTTTTCTAATTCAAAATTTTTATGAGCTCTAAAAACGTCTTCTTCTAATTTTAACGAATTATCCAAAAATTCTAGCATTTTTTTGACAGACCACTCAATATTATTTCTTTTTTTCTTATAAATTTCTGTTAAAAGCCATTTCGGCAATTTTGATTCAATTTCCAAAATTAATTGCTCGTTATTTGTATATTCCCCCAAATTATTTAATTGATTAATTATAGCTTCTACTTTTCTCAATGTTTGTCGAATTTCGGGTACGTACTTTGACGCCCTAGGGATTCTTCGTAAATTTGCGTGCAAAGCACTTTTTATATTTGATTTATCCCCAAAATTTTTTTCCAAAAGTTCTAAAACTATTTTATAATTTTGTCCCTCTAGGGGATATTGTCTGGCCATTTCTTTAGGCTCTCCATTTAATGCTCCAAAAAGATATTGTAATTTTCTTTTATCTGAAATTGCTTGTTCATCTACAGCACATTTAAATTCCTCCATAAATGGCCGATACTCCTCTAATTTTCCCGAAAAAGATGGTAAACGAATTTCTGGGAGTCTAATGGTATTCGGCATTTGGAGAATTGTTTCATTTAGAGTTGCGCGATTTCTTTCGCGTGGGCCTTCAACTCTATTAAGCGTGTCATAATTTTCATACAAAATATCTAAAACGTCACGAGCTTCATCTAAAATAGTCAAAAATCCATTTGGCCCAAGAGCAAATTCTCGATATTGCTCATTTTCATTTTCTCTTGCCTCAATATCCAAATATTTAATAAAATTGGCATAATCCATATCTTTTTTATTTATTTCTTCAATTACCCCAACAATTTTCTTTTTTATATTTTCAGTTTTATTAATTAATTCTTCTATTTTTTTATTTTTAGATTCAGGATTTAATTTATTACTTACGCTGAAATCGATTTGACGAGCGGTGTCCAAATGACGCCCTAGACGATCTCGCAGCATAGTGATGCCCGCCTGCAGGACGGCCGCCATATCCTCTTCTAATAAATTGTCGACTACGAGGCCTTACTTGTTGACGTTGCTGAACCTGTTGAACAGGTTGTCGTTGAAATGTGGGACGAAAAGGTGTTGTCCCAAAAGTTGGATAAAAAGATGGTGCCGAATAAATTGTCGGCGGAAGTGTAGGTGCAAAGTAAGGTGGTCGTTGATTAAAATAAGGAAAAGGATTGTATGGATTATGAAAAACAGGTGGTTGTTGATATCCTCCTGATGCTTGATCTGAATTTGAATTTACTACCTTTACTATGACCGGGGCAGATTCTTTTTGGGGCTTTTGACGGCTTTGAGACGTTCCTTGATTTCTGTAGTTTTTAGTAAAAAAATTGCGCTGTTGAGCGCTTTGTTGTCGGAATTTATTCTCAATTTTTCTTTCCAGATTTAAATTTTCGTTTGGAGGTCTGGACGAACAAATTGTCACCTTGTCCAGTTTTTCTTGAATATTTTCCAGTTTTGCTAAAAAATTTAGCCCAAAAGATTATTTTTTAACTAAAATTATTTTTTATCCAAAAAATTTATTTTTATTGCCCTGATTTTTTATTCGTCGTGGCACCAATTTGTTATATTCCAGTAATATAACAATGATTTAGACCAAATAATTTTAACCAAATATTTAAAATATTAATTTTTTATTCCAAGATTTAAAAATACAAGTTTGATATTAAAGGGGAATTTAAAGTAAGGGTGAAGAAGTTGAAAATAATGGATATAAATCAGCTTAAATAGGGCCAAAAATATAGAATTATGAATACATTTTTTTTTAGAGGGAAAAGATAAAAATTGAAAAGATGATTGGGCAAAAATATGTGAACATAAATATTTTAAAAATATAAAAACAAGGATGATTAATGGAAAAGTTTAAAAATAAATATTAAATATCTTTATAAAAATTGCGTTTCGGCGCAACAGGGGAGGATGGATGTGGGGAAGATGGATGATATACATATATCTTTAGTTCTGTTTGCATAATAATAAAAAAATAAATTAATAGCTCGGATCTAAATTTAAATTTGCCCATTAGAGGTTGCGTCAAAATTTAAGGTTCATCGTTTAGTTGGCAAATGAGGGGCTGTTTAAACGATACCTCCAATAAAGGATATTCATTAGATGTAAATATGTACCCCACTCCAAGCGTGTAAATAAAATTCCAACATTATTAATTTGATATATTTCTTTAAGATTTAGTACCAAAAAATATAAAATTTATTTTGCCAATACTTTGTATTATTTTAATTGGATTAATTGTTGCTACTACTTTTATTGATATGGTAGGGGCTTATTATATTGATAGACTTCACTTTTTTGGTAGAAGGATGGATTTAGAGGTACTTAATTGTGAGAGAATATTTGGAGGAATTTAATTATTTTTTATGATCCTTTGGAATGGTTAAAAGCTGTCCAGCAACGTAGAATAGAGGCTATGAAGAGAGAAGCTATGCGTAAACTTTTTGAGACAGCTACAGCAATGTACAGATTAAATGCTGGAAGTTTCTCTAAAAAGCAAATAAATTTAATTAAAAAAATGCCTGAGGGTATTTCTAAATTAATTAAATAATTTATTTATTAAAAAGTAATTATTCCAATGCCAAAAGGAATTGCTCCTTTTAATGCAACAGCTGATTCTGTTACTCTTAAATGGGAACCTTCAACTCAAATTTTTTTGGAAGGAAAGCCTTTTTGGTATACATTGAGTTATGCACCTAGAACCCCTCACAGATTAAATAATTCTACTAAAGTGATTGATTTTTTGAGACAAAATCGTTTTGTTGTTAGTGGATTAAAGTAAAATATTATGTAAATTTATTTTTCGAAAAATTATTTTAAGATCATTTACTCTTTACGAATTTAATGTTCGTATTTCTACTTCAGAGGGAAGTTCAAAACCAGTTAAATGTCAAGAATATACTGGTTAGAATATACAATTTAAATATTTTCTTTTAATTATTAAGAGCCTTGTACTGTTCCCCAATTATTACAATTGGATGCGATTAGTTCTGAAACTGCTACAATTTTTTGGCGAGCTCCAAGAAAAAATAATGGGCCAGAAGTTTTAATTTATTTTAACAAAAATTATATTTATTTTTTAAAGAAATATTTATTATTATTTACTCAAGAACCAGCTCCTCCTTTCCAATATTGGAGGAGATTTGAAGCTGGAAAAAGAAGGAAATTTACACTTATTGGACTTAATGCTGATACACGGTCGAACTTTTTAATTTTTAATTCGCAGGATTTTCACGTGTGGTGTTAAAAAGGATTAATCTTAGAGACTACCGAAAATCCCAAAATTTCTAAAAATATAGTTTTGCCCTTAGTATTGTATGTATATTTAAATTTTGGTATATTCGGCGCCTGAAGTTATATATGTAGTAGTTTAGCAATTTAATCTTTTAATAAAAACAAATTTAATTAATTCGTTGATAAACTTTAAATATGTAATTATTATTTAGTTATATTGTTTGTACTGTTGCTTTACATAATTTTGGTCAAGCAGCAATTTCTCGTTCCTTGCGTTTCAAAACACGTTCTTGGTGGTTTGATGAAGAAAATATAGAAAAAGAGTTATTAAATAAAGATGAACAACAACAATTATTTTTAGACAGAATTAGATGTAATAATTTCCTTTTACCCCCAAAATGGCAAAAAAGAGAAAGAAAGTAATTAAAATTTATTTAAATTAATTTTTAATATTTAAATTAGGCCAAGTCTTCGAGAACCAAGTATTGGTGTAAGCAGTGGAGGGGCAACTAGAAGGAGTAGTTTACAAAGCGGGGAATATCAAGATAGAAGTTAATAGTATTTTAAATAATTTTTAAAAACGATATAGTAAATAAATCCATAATAGGGGAATAGAGACCAATGATTCTAAAATTGTAATTTGTCAGAAACTTTTAATAATAAAAAGCAAAATTATTTAAGAATTATTTAATATAATAAGTTTAGGGTTTATAAAAGCAGAAATAAAAACAAATTAAATAAAAATTATTTACAAAAAAACTTAAATGTTAACAATTAAAAATTTAAAAAAATATTAAAACCAATTTATTATTGTCACGATCACGATTTCCTTTAACAGAAATATCTTCACTGCCGCCACCACGAACTGGAGAAATGTCATAATCTAAACGTCTACCATTTGAATCAGAGCCTGCTGTACGCCTTGGTGTTCTCCTAAAATAATAGATAAAAATATTTAAATAAAAAATTTTACTTTTCAAATCTTCCATTCCCCCCTTCAGCATCCACCTTAGAACTATCACGAGCTCCCCCAGCATTGCCAACAGAAGTACACCCACCACGCCCACCTCGAAAACTACCTAAATATTAATAAACTGTTTATATTCTATAAACTTAAGGAATAATTAAGGATAAGATTATAGGTAAATGTCCAGTTGGCGATGACTTTGAATATAATTTCTAAGCGATAAAAGGCAAATTATACCAAAAAGAAAAAAAGTGAGACAAAAATTCAAGGGAAAAAATAGCATTCTCTTTACAGACGGGTAGATCGCCAACTAGACATTTACCAGATTATATTCAAATTCAGGTAATGTCTTAAAATTTTAAATAAACCTCTGTCAGGCATACTCGCTCCAAGCATTGCCATTTGAACTCCAAATGTTAAATGTTCATCATAACAACTTCCAGCATCTGAAAAATATATTTTTGAAAAAATAATCTCTAAAGAAAAGGTCCAAAATTTCCGACTTTCTTTGGCTTCTTCAAGGGTAATTTGACGAAGTAGAAGATTTGGTTGTTGTTGCTGTTGATTTATCATAATATTCGGAGAAACAGAAGAAAATGGCTGCTGAGTAGACATCGTCATTCTAGCAGGAAGAGAAGTAGATTGAAAAGTACCGCCAGGAAGTGGATGGCCAATTGGAAGATGAAGAGAAGAATAGAAAGGTGCTGAAGGTGGATGCATCAAAGATGTTTTCGTCTGTTGCAACCTGTGAGAAAAAAAAAATTTGTAAAATTCTTTAATAATTCGACTGTTTCTCTGATGCATCCTCTTGAACTTTGCCTGTTTGAGTTGAAGTTATGGAAGTAGAAGTGGACGAAGGAATGGTTGAAACTATAAATTATATCTATTTTGACAAAAGAAATATTTAATTACATGGTACCCCATATTACATGGTACCCCATATATTTTATTACATGGTACCCCATATAATATTATCAGAACTGATAGGATTAATGGTAGGGGTGGAGGAACTTGCCTAATTATATCAAATAAAATACCATTTATTAAAATAGAAGTCCCCCAAACTTTATCTGAGATATCTTGTATAGATTTATTAACCCCAGGTGAAAAAATTCGTATTATTTTAATCTATAGATCAATCACTAAAGAAAACATTAAGGATTTCAAATCAATCTTGCAAAGCTTATATGATATATCTGCTGTATCCTACCCACTCATATTATTAGGAGACTTTAATCTACCCAATATCGATTGGGAGAATTATAGTACTCAAACCAAAAATACAAAAGAAACACTATTTTTAGAATATATCCAAAGTCTAGGATTAAAACAAAAAATTGATAAACCCACTAGAGGAGTAAATATATTAGACTTATTATTAACTAATGAGGATGAATTAATAAAAACTAACAATTAATCCACCTATAAGTAATTCGGATCACAATACAATTGAATTTGAATTATCTTTTACTAACAATTACCAAGATAATACTTACAAATTTCCAAACTTTCATAAAGCTAACTATGAAATAATTAATGCATGTTTTTCGACAATAAACTGGAATCTATTATTCACACAATGCACTGATATTAATCATTTATATTTCACTTTCCAATCGATTTTACATAATGTTATTTGTTCCCATGTTCCGGAATCTAAAGTTAAATGTAATAATCTCAAAAAACCTGAACACATTCAAAAAATGATCTTATATCTAAAAAATCTTTGGAAGCAAAAAGCCACACCAGAGCTTTCACGAAAAATCTCCTATATATCTAAAAGAATAGACTCTGAAACAAATAAATTTTTAAAGAATAGGGAAAAGCATAAAACTCAAACTGTCAGTCAAAAATTCTCATACATCTCTTCATTTCTTAAATCAAAAAACAGGAAAATAACTTCAATTTTGGATGGAAATAATCAACTAGTACACTCTGATAATAAAATAGCACAAATTCTAAGTACACACTTTAGCTCCGTACTTAACAAAAATTCATTCGATAATACAGACTTAAATTCTATAGCTAATCATAATACATGTAATTCAGTTAACATAAATGAACATCAAATCTTTTATCTTCTTTCTAAACTACCTGAAAAAACTAACACTTCCTATGACTCTATACCATGTATATTCCTTAAAAAATGTGCTAAAAGCCTTTACTATCCTATATATTATATTTTTTCTTACTCCTTAATGACTTCAACACTTCCTGAAATATGGAAGCAAAGCATAATAATACCGATACCAAAAACATTAAAGACACCCAAAATAGAAGAACTTCGTCCAATTTCATTACTATGCTCAATCACAAAGGTAATTGAACAAATTATTGCAAACCATATATCGATCTATGCTGAACAGAATGGTATATTACCAGATTGTCAGCATGGATTCAGACCAAACAAATCCGTTACTACCCAACTAATTGAAGTTCAAGACGATATATCATTTGCATTGGATAACAAAAATTTAATTAACATAGTTTATTTCGATCTAGCTAAAGCCTTTGATTCTATACCCCATGAACGTCTTTTAATAAAATTAAAAGTAATAGGAATTGAAACATCACTTCTAAAATGGATCTCTATGTAATTACTTACACAACAGAAAATCTGTTGTTAAAATAGGAAATGACTATTCTGAACAATTCTCTATTAGTAGTGGAGTTCCACAAGGATCTATCTTAGGTCCGCTCCTTTTTAATATCTACTTATCGGACTTGCCAACATTCTGTTCTACACCTGAAATTAAAATAAAATTATTTGCAGATGATATTAAAGCCTATCAAATCCTACCTAAAACCCACTTATCTAACAATTCTTTACAAATATTTATTAACAAATTCATACAATACTGTAATAATAACGGTCTAAACATATCAATAAACAAATGCTCCGTTTTATATATAGGTAAATCAAATCCTAAAACTGAATACTTTATAGGCAATCACAAGATATTCCAAATTAGTAATGAAGACAAGAATCGTGATCTTGGAATTTTCTTCACTTCTAAATTTAAGTTTAATAAACATATTCAAACAATATCTTTAAGGGCAAATAGAAATTGCTTTGCACTAATTAAAGCTCTCAAATCGCAAGATCCTAAAATTCTTATAGAAGCGTTTAATATATACGTCAGGTCAATTATAGAATTTGGGTCGACGGTTTGGAATTCATTAACTAAGAAAAATATTAAATTAATAGAAAACATACAAAAACGATATTTAAGATTTGTTTACAAAAGAATTACAAAGGTAAAAATAGAAGATATTCCACCATACAAAACACTTTTACAACATTTTAAAGTTGAATCCCTTGAAAGTCGTAGACTTAAAGCTGATTTAAAGGCGCTCCGACTCGGGCACAGTGATCCATTTGCACAGTAAGGCAATTGCACAGAGAACAATTGCACAGTGGACAATTGCACGGTAATTTGTGGTTAAGTGGATTTGTGTTAGGTTTTACCACTGCAGATTAGCAAGGGCCCCAGCGGAATTGAAATTTTAGTTAAGTGTTAACTACAAAATCGTTCAAAATTGGGTAGTGGGTTCGAACCTTTTCATGGTTAATTAATATTTTCTTATTAAATAAATAAAATAAAACATCAAAAAAGCATTCTAAATAATATTTTAAGGGTATAAAATTTTTTTAACTTTTTAAAATAAAAAAACAGGAAAAATTTTAAAAAATCGAATGTAATTTTTTAATGTAATTTTTTCAAATTCTGAAAAACTACTACATAGGTATTTAAATTTAAATACAGTCAAAGCTCATATAAAGTAATTGACCCCCGTTTCATTAAAATTAGAGCCCGGCCGGAGGGGTCGGTCGATATTTTTCGATAGATATCGAAAAATATCGAATATCGAAAAATATCGAAAAAATCAAAATTTTCTCGGTCGATATTTTTTCGATAAATATCGAAAAATATCGAAATCGAAAAATATCGAAAAAAAAGTCTCGATATTTTTCGATTTTTCAAAAAATTTTTATAGCCAATGAATAACAGAATAGACCAAATAGTTTAAGGAGATTAAGATTGGTTAACTGGGATATTGGTGGATTTGGACGGATTAAATGTATATCAATGGACTTGTATTTGATATCGAAGGATCAAGTGGGATATAAGTGGATTTTAACTAGGAATAATGGATTTCAATTCAATTCAATTCAATTTATACGCAATAGAATACGTGACATTCAGATAAAACAATTATTTAAAAATATAAATGAATCATTTGTATTTGGTGGTCTGGGGAATAAATAATTTTACTGTGATAAATTTTTGTCGAAAATGTAAGATAGATCGAAGGAGTTTAAGAGCTTAGGAAACAGATCGGTGGATGCTTTTTGAATATCTATAGGGAGTTTTCTATAGATATCTGGGATTTTGACGAAAAATGAGTTCTTTCGAATTGTGGTTGAACAAAACGGTATAAAAATATTGTGTGGATTTCCTCTAGTGATTGTAGGCCTGGTGATATAATTAGGTTGTGAAGATTCTATTTTTCCTGAGAGAATATTATGAAATAGAATAAGGCTTGATTTTAGGCGTCGATGTGATAAAGGTTCAAGTTGAAATAATTTGAGGAGTTTATGATAATCAGGTAGGTGTTTTGTATTTTTATATTTTCCAGAACGTGAATAAACAATTTGGAGAAATTTCTTTTGGACATTTTCAAGGGAATGTATGTCTTTCTGTAAATAAGGGTCGAAAACAGGGGATCCGAATTCAAGAATTGGAAGAACGTAGATTTTAAAGAGAGTTATGAGAAAATTTGGGTTTTTTGTTTTGAGTGATCTAATAAGAGTGAAGTAGGTTCTTGTGGCTTTTGCCGCGATAATTTTAATGTGAGACTCCCATTTTAGATCGGGTGTGAAGTGGATGCCCAGGTCGCGGATATTTTCATTGCATTGTATTGTTGGGATTGGGGAGTTATCTAGGGAATATACATGATATGGATTTTTAGAGCCAATATGGAAAGATTTGCATTTATTTATTGAGATTTTAAGGCCGTTTATCGTGCAATAGGTTGAAATTTTGTTAATAAAATTTTGGAGTGGAGAGTAATGGTTGTGTTGCGTAGAATCGAAAATGGAATAGGCCTTAAGATCATCAGCAAATAATTTCGGTATAACGTTTGAAGTTTTACAAAATTCAACTATATCAGATATATATGCGATAAATAAGATGGGACCTAGCATGCTACCCTGAGGAACACCGCTGGTAATATTGTATTCTTCAGACATGGTTGATTCGACTTGAACAGAGAAGGAGCGATCTTTCAAATAATCAGTAAGCCAATGGAGTAGTGTGTCAGTTATTCCCATTGCTTCGAGTTTTTTGAGGAGTCTAACATGAGGGACTGTGTCAAAAGCTTTAGCTAAATCGAAAAATATGACATCGACACATTTCTTTTGTTCAATAGCTTGGGTATAATCATCAAAAGTTTCAAGGAGCTGAGTAGTAACTGAACGATTTTTGCGGAATCCATGTTGATTTGTGGGAATGAGTTTGTTAGATTCTAGAAAATTTGTTATTTCTTTAGTTATGCAATACTCAAGTATTTTTGAGGTTGAGCATAAAAGGGAGATTGGTCTAAAATCGATTGGTTCTTTAGGGTTGGAAATTTTTGGGATGGGACAAATAATTGACTTTTTCCAGATATTGGGAATTTTTTTAGTCATAATTGAATAGTTAAAGATCATAACCAAAGGTGAAGTCAAGGAGATAGCAGTATTTTTTAGAAAGATATTTGGAATACCGTCTGGTGATGCATTGTTGACATTGTCAAGATTGGATATGATGTTAAAAATTTCTTGAGGAATTATGTCAATAAAAGATAAGGAATGGGCTTGAGAGATTACAATATCGTCATTTGAGAATATTGTAGAATTAAAAACCGATTGAAACTGCTTAGCCAGTTTATCGGCTTTATCAAGGTCGGAGAGAGTAATGTGATCATGGTCTTTAAATGTAGGGATTTTAGTTTTTTTAGTTTTAAGAAAGGCTCCGATATATTGGAATTTGGATCGAGGATCTTTGAATTTAGCCATTTCTCTATTTTGGAAAAATTTGGATGTTTCTTTATCGATTTTTTGTTGGAGGGCAAGATATTTATCGCGAATTTCAGGTTTGTTAATTTTTTTCCATAGAAGGTTTCTGTATTTAATCATATTCTGAATATGTGTCGGGATATTAGTAGAGTTCTTATTTTTCTTTTTTAGAGGTACGAAGTGAGTAATAACCTGTTGAATAATTTGTAAAAATTTGTTATATTGGGAATCAATATCAGTACAGTTTGAAAAAATGTTATTCCAGTTCAATCCGATAAGAAACTCGTTAATAGATTTGTAATCTGCGTTATAGAAGTCGCGAATTAATATGGGTTTTTTAGTGATATTTTTAAGGTTGAGATTGAATTCAATACTGTTGTGGTCTGAACTCTTAAAAGGGGGCTTGACATAACAGCTTCTAATACGAAAAGTGGAGGGCGAGAAAAGAAGATCGAGAAAATTATTATTACGAGTTGGGGAACAAATTTCTTGAAAGAGATTTTGATTATTAATAAATTCAATAAAATATTTTTCGGTGGGCGAGGCAGAGAATGATTGAGGTTTGCAAGATGTCCATGGAATGTTAGGTAAATTAAAGTCGCCGATGATGATGAAATTATGGTTAATAGCGATAAGACTACATAATAAGTCAAGGAGTGCTAGAAAATCTTCGAGTTTTTCATTTGTTGTGGGTCTGTAGATTAAAATGAGTCTAAACTTTTCGTAGGTTGGGGAGTATATATCTATTGCTATTAAATCTGAATTTTTAATTTTGGGGGTTTTGACAATGGAAAACGGAATTACATTATCGATTAAAATACATACTCCTCCTCCTTTAGAACCTCTATCACATCTTGCTATGGTGTAAGGAGTGTCATGGAGTATTTGGGAGTTATCGATTTTTGAGTTCAACCACGATTCGGTGATGAGAATAATTTTAAAAGTTTTAGAAACTAAGAGTAACCTAAGGGATTCGATCTTATTAACTAAGCTCCTACTATTGAAATATAAACAATTATAAAAATAAGTAAAATCAAAATTTTTTAAAACCTTCAGAGGACGACCATTTATTTGTTTTTTGAGCGTTCGGTAACATTTGAGTTTGGATTTAGCTTCTTAAATTCATCACGTTTTCTTGCACGCTCCATTCTGTCCAATTCCAACTGTTCTTTTGTCAGACTAGGTCTAATAAGGAGCCTTGACCAATTTTCTTGCTTACGCATATCATTTCGACGTCGCTTCCATTCCGCCAAAGAAATCCTTTGAAATTGAGAAGCAGCAAAAATAATTTTAACCAAACGTAAACCTCGATTTGTTGGGTCAAATTTACCCATTCTGTACGAAACGAATGGGGCCTCAACCCCCAACCAGTTGAGAACGCCTTCGGCAGCAGCCTTATCATCAGCAACACGAATAGAAGGTGTTGTTGATTTTGATTCTGGTAGACCAATAAGCACAATCGATCTACGACGTTCTTGTTCAGATGCTGCATTTTCGTTGTTTTTAATATTTGCTTCAATTGTTGTTTCAATCGTTTGAATTTTTGATTCAATAGTTGTCAAAGCATTTTTGATTTGAAGGATTTCATTAGAAAAAGAAGAAAATTTTGTGTTGTTATTATCGATTTTTAATTCTAAGGCAGCCAATTTCTCCATAATTTGTTGTAATTCAGATTTTGTTGGTGCCATTTCGGCGTATTTAAATACTTTTATCTGAAATCTTAAACTTGGGTAATTAAACCCAAGTTTAAGATTTTAAGGAATTAAGTGGATATTGAAGGACTGAGGGTGTATCGAGAGGTTTAGAGGTATTAAGACTGTATTGTGGATTTGTGAGATCAGAAGGGATATCAAGTGATTTGCGGATTAAGAGGATATCGGCAGATAAATAGATATCCGTTTTGATATCCATCTCTCCCAAATATCCGTCTTGATCCCTCGAGATTCATTTTACACAATTATTCCTCTATAAGTTATACAAATAGTCGATTACCCCGGATATCCACAATATCCGCCATGTCCTTGGATATCTCAAATATCCCACCAAATCTTCAGATGATCCATAAAATTACTCTTAATCCACTGAAATCTCCCTTAATCTACCGAAATCTTTCTTAATTCATATCAGTGTTAAGTACCATATACATATTATCTCACTCTCATCTCGCTTTGGCAAACTAAATCGTGAATATAGAAGAAACCTTTCTCATTTTCTGCGCCGCAGGCGAAAATTTTTTGAATTTCCGTTGGGCAAGAAGCAAAAATGCATCCTTTTTTGAGCCAAAAATTCAAATTTTAGTCAAAAATGGCGTTCGATATTTTTTTCGATTTTTTGTAATTTGGTCGGTCGATTGTTTCGATTTTTAAATTTTGTCGGTCGATATTTTTCGATAAATATCGAAAAAATATCGAATACCGAAAAATATCGAAAAAGTCAAAATTTTGTCGGTCGATATTTTTTCGATAATATCGAAAAAAAATATCGAAAAATATCGATAATTATCGATGAAAAATCGTATCGAGCCGGGCTCTAATTAAAATACCTAATGCTCCTTAACACCGTTCATTTTTGACGGCCTGTTATATCAAAAATAGACTGTTGGAAAGTGCTATCACACACCCTTATAGTCCTGAGTCTGCTCTATCAGATAACACCTTTTCACTTTTTTAAAAAATTCCTTACGGGAAAGCCACTTCACTGAAGACGCAAGATCGTTGGGGTCAGATTTTTTAAAAGGGGATCCAAAACTTTTTCTTGTTTAAAAAATGTTGTTAAGACTCGGGGCAATTATTATGTTCAGTTAGATCTTTCTCTCTAGTAAAGGTATTATAAAATATGTATTAATAACATTTTTTCCCATATAACATAAGTAAAACCTAACACAAATCCACTTAACCACAAATTACTGTGCAATTGTCCACTGTGCAGATGCCCTCTGTGCAAAAGTCTTACTGTGCAATTGGATCACTGTGCCCGAGTCGTGTCACCGATTTAAAGCTATTTCATCAAAATATATTTGGGAAAATTCAAATTAACCATAATAATTCCTATTCAATAAAACAAACAAAAACAAGGGGTGAAAAATATAAAATACAACCAACACGTTGTTCAACCATGATTCAGTATAATTCCTTTTTTATTCGAACTGCCAGAATTTATTCACTTATTCCCATAGAAATTAGGAAAAATACACCACAAACGTTTTCTAAACTTCTTGCATAGTTGGATATTTCCACGTTTTTAAATGACAAATGATACATATAATTTTTATTTAATTTAGCTGCTTTGATTTTTAAGTATTTTTAGGCACATTTTAATTTAAATTTTATTTTTTTATTTGATTTCAAATCGTTTTAAATTGTTTTATTTTTGACCGACACACCCTAGTGGTGTAAATAAATAAATAAATAAAAACCTTTAAATTGCATAGATATTCGTTCAAACATTTTTTAAATTGCAGTAGAAAAAATGTTTGAACGAGTATCTCGGCAATTTAAATGGAATGGAGATATGAACGACACTTCTTTAGTTGATTTGGCAGAATTACTGAAAAGTTTGGAATTTTTTTTAAAAAGCTTAAAGCTATTTTTAATTTAAGCAATTCATTTATCTGATGTTGAAGATGTTAGACCGGTTCTTCAATTCTACCGAGGAATTTAGAAAGAGAGCAAAAATTGTTGGACAAGAGGTTTTTTTAAATTTATTTTTGAAAATCTAAGAAAATATTTTTGGGAATTGAGTTGATTGAATGCTAATTAGTGTTTAGCTTTGTTATTTAGATGTTTTTTCCCATACTTGATTGGGGGGGGGGGGGATTTTTAAATATTTTTGGATTTTTACCTGGCATGTCTATTAAATTCAAAATAAATATCAAAAATTTTTTAAAGACGTTCGCGTGTTGTGGAAGATAATTTTTATTGGACAATCCTTAAATTTTACTTTTTCCCCTCCAAACTTTAAAGGAAAACTAAAGGTATCTTTTGGAACTCCCCTACAAATATTTTTTAAATTTAAAAGAAATTAATATATTTTATTTTCAAATTTTTATTTTAGAATCAACAAGCAACATCAACTTCTCAATCAATAACATCTTCAGAAGAACCATTAAAGAAATATCGTGGTAGTTTATTTGGAGCAAGAAGGCATGCTGTTTAGAAAAAATAGTGGGAGATTAAATTGTTTTGTTTTTTTCAATGTTTCAAATCATCCAGTTAATTGGTTTTTTCTTTTAATTTTATTAAATTTTATTTTAAAAAGAATATTTTTATTCGGGAAAATAGTTTACCAAGGCTGTATTCAGAGTAGTGTTGTTACTCGTTACCCATCTTAAATTAGGGTTTTATCCGTCCCCGTCTTTTAAATTAATATAAGCTTTTACACAATTAGGCTTTGACATCTACTTATTTTATTTTCTAATTTTTATTTGAAACAATTAATTTTGCTCGAATATTTATTTTTTTACTCTCAATTAATTATTAGGGTAAACATTCTTAAGAAAGAACCTTCAAAAATAATTTTGCGCATTTAGTGACAATCAATAGAAATTTTTGTTAATTCAGCATATTTTTCACTAACAAATTCATTTATGGGCAGAGGATCATCCTAAAATTAAAAAAAATTTTAGAAAAAAATTAAAAAGGGAAAAATGGATCATCTTTCAAATAACTTTCCATAAAAGAAAATTCAAGGGAATCAGGAATCTTTTAAAACACTTTAACGTCAGAAACAAAAAAAATTAAGGAACTGACTCGGAGAATTCCCCAAAACCATAAACATTCCCAAGAACCCTGTCTTCCCGAAACGTCCACGACAAAATGTCACAACTGAGATAGGCTCTAGTAACGAGAAATAATAAAATATTTTTCAAATTCTTTAATATTTCCAAAGAAATATTCAAAAAAACCATCAAATTTTATTTTAATTTAAAATAAAAAATAAACCTCATCATTCTCATTCTTTTTAACCCATTCTTTAAATTCTTTTTCATTAATTTTTGTTGAACTCACAAGACGAATAAGTGCAGATAAAGAAACACCCATAAATTTTAATTCCAAAACAATATCTGCAGGCCTGTTCTTTTTTTGCTCGTTTAATTTGACACATAATTTCATCAAGCTTTTAAATTAGAGAAGGAATTAATCAAAAATTAAAAGAAAACCTCAAAGCCAGTTTCAGAACCATCTGAAGACGTCAAACGAACAAAACAACCAGTCAACAATTTAACTAATGGTTCTGAATCCTCAAAATTACTCAATTTTTGAAGATATTCACGAACTAAAACACAATTTTCCAAATCTTTTGCTGACTTAACAGGCAATTTAGCACGTTTAGCTTTTTCTTCAAAGCAAGTTGAAGTTCAGCAGCTTTATTTTGAATATCATCCAATGTCGACAATTTTTCATCCTAAGTCGGAAATTTAAACAAAATTTATTTATGTCGTGTAAGTCAAAGTCAAGAGACGTAAACAGAAAAATTGTTCAACTTAAAATATATTCCTAAAAATATACCCAAGCCTTCATAACTTCAATCCAATTACGAAATCCTTGTTCAGTAACTGTTGAAAAACTTTTCATCCAATTTATAATATAACGGCCATAGAAAGGCACAACCAATTGATAATTAAATCTTGCAACGTTTTTAATTTTGTAATTACGAGGCCATTCAACACAATCAAGAACTCGAACAATATGATATTGACAGTCTTTTGGCTAAAATAAAATAATTATTAGAGGCAAATAAGAACCATGGATAAGTTATGAGTAGGGCTGGGAAAAATATGCACGCAAAATCGCCAAATATGCGCATATATATGCCCGAAAAAACCCCGAAATAAGCACCGATATGCAAATATTCACTAAAGAGCTGAAATATGCAAAAGAAACCGGACCCTAAAGTGCTCGTACCAATGCAAAAACATCATTTCTGAGCTTCCCTCATCAAGGCATATCCGAATACAAAACATGCATTTGCATGTTTTTCCCAGCCCTAGTTATGAGGATAGTCAAACTCCCTATTTTAGTGTCAATTTCTAAAACTTTAAAAAAGATAAAAGGTTCCATCATGGCAATTATCCGCTTAAAATAAAAGAAAACCTTATTTTTACGAATTGATGTCATACAAACAAAACACCCAACTACTTGACGAAATCTTTCAAATCCCAATTTTGACAAACTTCAAAGAGTTGAAGGATTTAAAGTAATTTGTGACAGATTTGAACGTGTAAAAGTTATTTTTTGCTTGTCAAGTTCTTTTAAAGTTTGCTGGGCAGAAAGAGCATCCAATTATGTTTTAATCTCATTTACTTTTTGGCGAATAAAACAAAGTGTTGGAATTATTTCGCCCTTAAAAGGAAATAAAAAAATATACAACAATTTTTTCATATTAGATTTATAATATTGACCAAAAAAATTTTTGAAGCCATTAAAACTGGAGTAAACCCAGAACAACAAAATGTATAATATTGTTATCAAAAAACTAGTTCAAACCCCTTAGCGTTTAGCATCAACTAAATTAAAAACTATTTTTTGGAACCGTAAAGCGATCAAGAACAAAAAAATACCCAAAATTAAATATTAAAAAATAACCTTAACCTCCATACAATCAAACCATGGACGAACATCACTATCATGATTGGCTTTCAAACTAACAATATTTTCAATTTCAAAATCACCCAAAAAGCGCAGTCGATAACGGCAATCAATCCAAAAATGTTGAAAACTCAAAAGTTCAATTATATCAATAATTTGGTCAATCCTTAAATTTTTAAAAAATTTTATAAAAAAATTCAAAAATATACAAAAACACGATCAGAATAATTTGAAGGAAATGTTAAATTCGCACTCAGTAAACGATAGTTTCTTGTAAAAATATCAAATTGATGTTATAATTTATTGATTAAAAATGTCATAAAATAGTAAGGGTAATTCTGAAGATTGTCCCCCCCATTTTTTCCTTACTTTTTCCTTCCTTATGATTGTACACAATGGTCAGATTTTTCCCCTTTCCTTTTACTCTTTGGCATATTCAAACAAGAGAGAAGACTAGTTTTGCATTCATCAGATTATTTTTAGCCTGTTTTTTAATTCTTTTTTTATTAACATAATTTCCGAAGGCAAAAAATAATTTGATGAATGCAGCAAAACTAATCTTCGCTCTTGTTTGAATATGCCAAAGAGAAAAAGGAAAGGGGAAAAATCTGACCATTGTGTACAATCATAAGGAAGTAAAAAGTAAGGAAAAAATGGGGGGGGGGGACAATCTTCAGAATTACCATAGTAAGATCACATAGAGATTGGGAATTTATAAAAACCTTGATTTTGATTGAAGGCATTGACCAGATTCTAAGCTTTAAATCAAGGAAAAATCAAGTTCAAGGAGAAATCAAGGAACACAGAAAAACAATGATATTTTATTTATATCCAATAAAATTAAAAAAATAATATGCGTAATTTTAGGAAGTAATTGCACATTAAAGTCATATAAGGTATATTTTTTGGTTTAAAAAAGTCTAAAAGAAGTCAAAGTTTCTTCTCCCAATTTAGGTACACATTCTTGTTCAATCACAATATGGGGCTAAATTTTAATTTTATTAACTTTTAAATTTTTAAAATAAAAACAACCTGTCCAATTCAACTGCCAAATGCCATTCCAACAGACTTACATTTTTCAAGCTAAACAAAATTTTATAAAAAAATTAAAAATAAAATACAAACTCGGCAGAAACTGCAGTAACTCTTCCCTTAAAATTAAAAAAATATTAAAAAATTTTCAAACAAATAATACCAAATCTCAACGAACAAGGTTGGAAATTCTTGCAATCATAATTTTTATTATCCTTAATAGCTCGCCTATAGAACATTGCACAAGCTCCACATGTTTTCGCATTATAATGATTGACAGCTCCAGGCTCACCACAAACAACATTCCTTAAAAATATTTTTTAATCGAAATTTTGACCCCAAAAACGAGCTTATTGTTAGCCAAAATGAAAGAAAATGGTCCCTAGTTGATATGCCAGTCCCAAGATGATATGCCCGCTATAATCTGTACACCCTTGGGGCCGAAGAAAATTAAATCTTATAACGAGGAGAAACTTAAATTTACCAAAAACTTAAATTTTACCTCTTCATTATTGTCACGATTTCTATTAACAGAAGTATCTTCACTGCCGCCACCACGGACTGGAGAAATGTCATAATCTAGACGTCTACTCGTTGAATCAGAGCCTGCTGTACGCCTTGATGATGTTCTCCTAAAAAATAGATAAAAATATTCAAATAAAAAATTTTACTTTTCAAATCTTCCATTCCCTCCTTCAGCATCCAGCTTAGAACTATCACGAGCACCCCCAGCATTGCCAACAGAAGTACACCCACCTCGAAAACTACCTAAATATTAAATTTTAAGTAAATCCTAATAATATTTCATTCCACAAACCTCTGTTAGGCATACTAGCTCCACTCATTGGCATTTGAACTCCAAATGTTGCACCCCGCAAATTAAGTAGAGCGGGTCCAGAATGAAATTGTAATCTCATTTCGGCAAATTGTTGAAAAGTAGAGGCAGTGGAATCAGCAACCGATGAACTAATTTAATAAATTTAAATGGATATTTAAAAATAAAAACAAACTTTAAACGTGTATGTTTCCATTTTTTCGGTGTATAAACTACAACTCGTTCTTTATCAGCTGTCGCATCTTGGTAGAGTTGATACTCTGACATCTTAAAAGAGAAAGACGTAAAATATTCAAAAGTTATCATATGTTTAAAAACAAACCAAATCGTTCACATTATATTCAGCCTCAGTAAATTCATCATCATCCATTCCTTCACCAGTATACCAATGTAATGCCTTACGTCGAAATGCCTCTTAAAATTGAATTTTTAGCAAAGTTTCGCTACAAAAGGTCAGGGTTCAGGTTTGATCGGGCCGGATCCACCTAATGAAACTCCTTTTACCACCTTATGAGTTAAATTATCAAAGAGCCAAACTAAATAGTAAAAAAAATCAAAAATAAAAACCTTTAAATTGCCGAGATACTCGTTCAAACATTTCTTTAATAGCAGTCGAGTTTCCAATAAAAGTAGCAGACTTTTTATAACCAGGCGGAGGAATACCACAAACCGCTGTTTTAACATTGTCTGGTATCCACTCCGCAAAATGAGATGAATTTTCGTTTTTATATTTCATCATTTTCTCTTCAACATCACCCGTAGACATTTTGTGGCCACGGAAAATTGCTGCAATGGTCAGATAACGTCCATGACGAGGATTACAAGCGACCATCATGTTTTTTGCATCAAACATTTGTTGGGTCAATTCAGAGACATTTTGAGTATAAAAATCCTCACACCCTTTAGCATAGACAGGCACAAAAGCAGGCATAAAAAAGTGAAGACGTGAATATGGAACCAGGTTGGTAAGTATTTTTCGAAGGCCAGCATTCAAAGGGCTTGGGAAACGGAAAGAAGTGGTGATGCCAGACATGGTCAAAGCAACTGAATTGATTGAATTAAAATGTTTAGTGGGAAAGAAATCCTATAAACAAATTTCAGCGAGTAAAATATAAGAAAAAAAGAATTTAAACAAACCTAAGTGATTTAAATCGTTATAGCCAGTATTTGCCAATTTACGAGTACCAGAGCAAATGTCAAACAAAGCTTCGTTGTCAATACAATAAGTTGAATGGGTATTTTCAATCAGTTGGTTAAATGAAAGCATTGCATTGTAAGATTCGACAACGACATCAGAGACCTTAAATGAATTAAAATAAAATCAAAATTTGGCATATTGCTTTGAATGTGACTTATCAGAGCTAATAAAACTGCTATGACTATTACAGAATTACCAGTAGGTTTGGGGCCCGAATTAAGCATTTTCGAGATTCCTAGATTTTTTCTGAACTAAAGACAGGGTACGGAACATTTAAATAGATAGGAAAACCCAAAGATTCTCTGCTTTCAGGTGAGGAGCTAAAATTCATTGATTAGGACATTAGAAGCTGAAGGAAAACCAAGATCCATAATAAAGTAATTCAAACTGATTGAGGTAAATATGCTCGCCCAATGACCACTTATTCAGATTTATTTCAAACTCTAATAAAACTTTAAAAAAAACCTTTGGCGAAGGAAGAACAGAAAAAGAGGACATAATACGATTATGAAAGACGTCTTTCAATTTTGAAAGTAACAACGTCCCCAAACCAGAACCAGTTCCTCCTCCAAGAGAATGAATCATCTGAAATCCTTGTAGACAATCACAGCCTTCTGCCTCCTTTCTGACAACTTCCATAAAATTCTCGATCAATTCAGCACCCTCAGTATAGTGCCCCTTCGCCCAATTATTTCCAGCACTTTCTTTGCCAAACACAAAGTTGTCATGTCGAAAGAGACGACCATCCGGCCTTGATTGATTCCATTGTTCCAGGCTCAAGATCGACGAGAATGCCTCTTGGGACGTAGTTGCCTCCAAATGTAGAAATTAAAAGAATATTTAAAGATAAAAAACCGAAAGCCTCTTTGTAGTAGACATTAATCCCTCCAAGTTGTGAATCAGAATTTCCCTTGTACATTCCATCAGGTTGAATGCTATGTTCTTCAGAAATGACCTCCCAGAACTTAAATTTATATTATTATTACACCAGGGAAAAATCAATGACTCATAATACCTTTGACCCGATTTGGGTCCCGCATTGGCCAGTCATTATTGTAATAATTTCCCCCATTTTTAAGGAATAAAAGTCAACAAAAAAGTAACCAATATAAGGTCTTAAAATTATCAAAAAAATATTAAACATTTTAAAGAAAATGAGTCAGCAAAAAATAGGATAATGAAAATAAAAAAAATAAGGCAAACTAAAAATAATTTTTTAAGGGAAGGGCACGGCGAAAAATAGCGTGTTATTTTTAAGAGAGACGAGTACTTTTTTTGACTTTATAGCGGTCGTTTCAGTGCAAATAATTAATGCCGTTTGAGTGTCGATCCACTCGTAAAGATTTTTCATGCAGCTTTATGTTTTTTTTTATTTTTTTATATCAAAAAATAAATTTTATTATTCAATTTAGATATATTTATTAAATATGTCTTTAATTCTACGTTCATTTCTTCATGCTAAAAATGTTTGCAACAACAAATTTCAATTTTTTTCAAGTTCTAAAAGAAGTATTTTGGCCTTTAATTATCGCCATTTTAGCAATGTTAGTTTTTTTTAATTTTGTTTTAAAATTTAATTTATTAAGGAAAAATATGAAGAACTGGAAAGACAGAAACGCCAAGACTGGCATTGGAAGGGTGTCAAAAAAGGAATTGGATTTATGTCAATTTTGGTTATTTCTGGAACTGCTTATGTTTTTTATGTTTATGGTTTGATTTTTTAAAGTTATTTTCTTCTCTTAAATTGTTAAATTAATATATAGAGATCGGCCTGGATTTGCATCCAAAATTTATTTTTCCTTGTCTTTGATTCACATAAGGCCTAGAATCTTGTCAAGGTCCCCAACCAAAATCAATGTCAAGGGTTTTTCTGATTTCCTTTATTAATAATCAATACCGATCCGTTTTCAAATTTTCTTTTTTTTAATCTTTTATTTATCCATTGTTAATAATATATTAAAATTTAGGAAGTCAACCTCGTGATCCGGTTACTGGTGAATTACTTCCTGATGAATTTTCTAATTATAAATTTGCTCCATTTTGGCGTGTTCTTGATTTTATTAAATTTTGGAAAAAGGTTTTTTTTAATTTTTAAAATAGTTTTGAAAAATGTTCTTTAGTTCATTGCTGAACCTTCAAGAGAGAAGCTTCTCCCCGATCCTGTCAAGGCTCCTTATCATCAGCCAAAATATACAGTTGTTCTTGAATTGAGAAATGTTCTAGTCAGTCCTCAATGGGATGTAAGTGGAATATTAATTTTTTGTTTAAAAGTTTTTCTCTATTGTTAACCTTTCTCCTTGAATACTGTTAAAATGGAATTTAAATGAGCTTCGTTACGTTTTATTGAATTAGGGCCGTAGCCAAGAGAAATTGTACAAAATTTTGATTCTCCACCGCAGACGAAAATTTTGAGAATTTTCGAGGGCCGCATGCCACAGAAATTCACTTTTTCCCCTTTTCACGTTCTTTGCTTTTTGTCGAAAATTGATTTGATAATTTATTTTTTATTAATTTTCAGTACAAGAAAGGTCATTATTTTGTGAAGAGACCAGCTTTGGATTATTTTATTGATATGATTGGATATCCAAATTTTGAACTAGTCCTTTACACTTCAGAAAATCTTATGAATGTTTGTTTTTTTAAATTAATTATTTAATTAATTTTTAGGCAGCTCCAATTGTTACTCAAATTGATCCTCAAGGACAACGGATTAATCATGCACTTTTTAGAGATTGTACTAAATATGTGAATGGTACACATGTTAAGGTTTTGATTTAATTTTTAGAGATTGTACTAAATATATGTGAATGGTACACATGTTAAGGTTTTGAATGGTACACATGTTAAGTTTTTGATTTAATTTTTATTTCATCTCTAACTTCTCTCTATTTATTTTTTTGCTTCGCATATTTTTTTAAAAAGCTAGATTATCTTTCCTAAAGTAATTTTTGGATATTTTGAAATAAAATTTGTTCTTTATACTTTACTCTTAAATTTTTTCGTTTTTCGTAAGTTGGCTAGGACTTCTAGTACACCCAGCTCATAAGCATAAAGTCGTTTTTATATTGCTATAAACTACCTAGAGATTCTCTTCAAAGGAAAATATTATTTGGCGAATTTATGTTAAAAGGGGAATTTCGCCGTAGTAATTATCAAAAAATCATTCTTCTAAATAAACTTCACTTTTCTCTATTTTTCCTTAATTTTTTTTTAATTTTTAAAGGATCTTTCTCGACTTAATAGAGACTTGAAAAAGGTTATTTACATTGATTGGGAACCTGCTGCTTTTCAGTTAAATCCAGAAAATGTTCTTTGTGTGCCTAAATGGAATGGAGATATGAACGATACTTCTTTAGTTGATTTGGCAGAATTACTGAAAAGTTTGGAATTTTTTTAAAACTTAAAAATTTTATTTTTAATTTAAGCAATTCATTTATCTGATGTTGAAGATTTTAGACCGGTTCTTCAATTTTATAGTCAATTTGATAATCCTACTGAAGAGTTTAGAAAAAGAGCAAAAATTGTTGGACAAGAGGTTTTTTAAATTTATTTTTGAAAATCGAAAAAAAATATTTTTGGGTATTGAGGTGGTTAAATGTTAATTAGGGTCTAGCTTGGTTATTTAAATGGTTTTTTCCTATACATGTTTGAGGAGGGGGGGGGGGGGTTTAAAATATTTTTGGTTTTTCAAAATTTTTAAACGAAGCTTTAAAGGAAAATTAAAGTCATTGTCAGCTTTTGCAATTCCCATACAGATATTCTTAAAATTTAAGACAAATTAATTTTTAATTTTTTTTCAAATTTTTATTTTAGAATCAACAAGCAACATCAACTTCTCAATCAATAACATCTTCAGAAGAACCATTAAAGAAATATCGTGGTAGTTTATTTGGAGCAAGAAGGCATGCTGTTTAGAAAAAATAGTGGGAGATTAAATTGTTTTGTTTTTTTCAATGTTTCAAATCATCCAGTTAATTGGTTTTTTCTTTTAATTTTATTAAATTTTATTTTAAAAAGAATATTTTTATTCGGGAAAATTGTCTACCAATAGCGTATCTAAAATTGGTTAGCTACCCAGTCTCCGTTTTATTTTGTTTAACAAAGTTTTAAAAAAGTTTTATTATTTATAAATCTCATGTATGTAGGGGTAGGCCCAGATCCAATATTTTCTAACTTTTATTTGGAACAATTAAATTTGTGTTACCTAATTAGACTAAAATTCATGATTTTTCTCGAATATTCATCTTTTTTTCTCTTAATTAATTATCAGAGTGAAAATTCTTAAGAAAGAATTACAAATAATTTTTATTTCAAAATAAACCTTCAAAAATAATTTTGCGCATTTAATGACAATCAATAAAACTATTTTATTCTAAAACAGGTTATACTTTATTTATTTATTTATTTATCAGCATAAAAAAATGTCATCGAAAGGGCGTGCCACTTAATTCGACAACAATGTCGTAGCGTGGCACAATAAAAATAATAAAATAAGAAACAGCATATAAAGTCATAATAATTTAAAAAAAAACACAAATTTAATATTATAATTGATTTATTCTTTAAATAAATATACTCCATACCGACCATTTTAACTAAGTAGGATGCTTTAAATTTATGAATCTAGAGGAAAGTGTACTGATTTAATTATCTTAAATTGTCAAAATTTAAAGAATTAATTTCCTCTACAATTTTGCTGCGTTTTTCGTTGTTTGTCATGTTTGCTGCAAAATTTAATGGAGAAAATTCAGAAGAATTGCGCTTAGACATTTTAGTCAAACAATATTACCCAATTGTTTTAAATTTTTTAAAAGTCCTTAAAAAATGAAAAATTGATTTAAAAGAGATAAATTGGGCAAAAATAAAAATTAAGAAAAAAGAAAAACTATGTTTTTAATTTAATGAGTCATCAAAAGAAAAATAGTATAGTTGAGTAAGAGACAATAGGATAAATTGTCAGCTAAATGCATTTTTGAACATAATGCCAAACAATAAATTTTATTTATTAATTTGAAATTTCCTTATTCAAATATGCAAAATAGTAGTCATTTAAATATAGTTAAAAACCGAGAATGCGAGAGAGAAAGAGAAAAGGAAAAATAAATTTTTAGATTATACCAAAAAAAAAACAGATTTGTTTAGATCTATTGAATAAGTATTGCTTTTACTTTATTTTTAAAACTAGGGATTATTTTTGTAGTCCTAATTTCATCATTTAAAACGTTCCACATCTTAGTTACCCTATTAACAAATGAGTTAGATGATTTAGAATTTTGATTTTTAGATAATAGGTAACATTTTTTTCTATTTGATATTTTAAAAAGATTGTCGGATTCCAGATGTGTATATCCATGTAAAATTTTATGAGCTAAAACTAGATCATAAGTCTTACGACGGTTTTCCAAGGACGGAAGATTAAGAAATTCTAATCTTTGTAAGTATGGTATATAAGGCAGTGAGCATTTTCTAAGAAGGACTTTTGTAAAGAATTTCTGGCATTTTTCAATTTTGTTAACTTCAGATCTTTGTTGTGGATTCCAAGTTTCAGGAGAATATTCTAGCAATGGTCTTATGTAACTTTTATAGATAGTAAGCCAAGTTTTAGTAGATTTTGACTTTATTATTTTAAACACGAAATTCATCTTTATATACGCTATTCTGATAATTTTTTGTATATGTTCCTGAAATTTAAGCTTATTATCTATTATGATGCCTAGATCTCGTATTGAATCAACCTCATTTATAGTTGTATCAAAAATCTTATATTGATCTTTCGGGTTATTTTTACCAAGATAAATTATATATGTTTTATTTATAGCTATATTTAATTTCCATTTGGTTGTCCACTGTTCAATATTTTCAATAGCATTAATAAGCATTCTTCTTTCATTTTTAGTTTTATGTATAGCATATACTTTAACATCATCGGCAAAAAGTTTAATTTTTACACCTTTTGGGATTATATCAGGTAAATCATTAATATAAATCAAAAATAATAACGGGCCTAAAACTGATCCTTGAGGTACACCTGATTTAATATTTCTAGGTTCGGATAACGTATTGTTAATTTTGACTCTAAAAGTTCTGTTCGAAAGAAAAGCTGAGATCCAACTTAAAATTTTTCCTCTTATACCTATTCTATATAATTTATTGATTAACAGGTCATGTGGTACTGAATCAAATGCCTTCTTAAAATCAATATATATACAGTCAATATTCTTTTTTCCCATTATTGCATCATACCAATCTTCTAATGTAGTGATTAGTTGTGTCATAGTAGATCTTTTTTTTATAAATCCAAATTGATCATTACTAAACAGATCGTTATCATGCATAAATTGAACAATATATTTGTTAAGAACCATTTCCATGACCCTACATATGGCACAAGTTAATGCAATAGGCCTATAATTTTCAGGATTTGATTTTTCTCCTTTTTTGAATAACGGTATTATTATAGATTCTTTCCAAATATTTGGTAGTATCCCTGAATCTAATGATATTCAAAATATTTCTGATAAAAAAGGAGCTATAGATGGAAGTACAATCTTTAATATTTTATAATTTATATTATCAGGTGAAGTACCATTTCTATTTGATAATTTTTTAATGATATTGATAATATCAGTTATGTCAAAGTCAACATCCTCGATGATAGGTACCTGATTATAGTCATTGATATTGTATTCATATTGCATATTAATGTTAGAAGTTTTCAAGAAAGATATCAGCAAAAATTTCAGACTTATCTATAGATTTTGTGATATATCTATTGTTATGGAAGAGAACTGGAATTTCATTATTAGTAAATTTAAATTTTTTAAGGTAATTATGGATAGAATTTTTATTTTTAGTGATATAAGCATTTTGTTTTTTACTATGAAAGTTTCTAGTCTGAATTTTTATATGCAATGATATACTGTCATATAATTCTTTATATTTTATTTTATCAGTTTTAAGCTGTCCATAAATTTCGGCTTTCTTTTTAATAGATGCTTTCAAGTGAGGTGGGTAATAATGTTTAAGGTCTTTTTAGTTATAAGTTTTTCTGGTACATAAAGATCAAGAGATGTTAAGATGTTATTTATGAGATGATTATATTTGTCTTCCAAATAAAAACTTTGTGCGGATATGATCGGAATGATAGAAGATAAAAATATATTTAATAAAGATGTATTAGCTTTATTATATTTTCTATATTTTATTGGTTTGACTTCTTTTTTGATTATTGGGAATAACAAATCAAAGATTAAAGCATCATGGTCAGAGTTAAATAAAGACCCATCAACATGTATATCATGAAATAATTCAGGTTTATTTGTTAGGCAAATATCTAAATATGCATCATTTCTAGTAGGACCTGGTGTGGTGGAAAATAAATTCATAGTATTAAAAAAATTGACAAATAGATCTCCTAGACTGTTTTTACAATATGGAATATTATTGACCCAATTTAAATCCTTTGTTCCAAAATTTAAGTCACCTAATATGATGCAGTTAAAAGAAATAAAGGATTCAATTAGTTTAAGAAGTTTTTTAGTCTGAATGGTACTTGTATTTGGAGGTCTATATTCATACTTTGCTTTTAATTTTTTTAGCTTTTCGTAAGTTGGCTAGGACCAGAGCTGCATCGAAATTTCGATTTTCGACTTTCGACGTTTTTTTCTACCGATTTTCGATTTTCGAATTTTTGTATAAAATTTCGATTTTCGATTTCGATATTTTTGGATTTCTTTCGATTTCCGAATTTCGAAGTTTTTTTATTTCGTTGCAGCTCTGGCTAGGACTTATAGTAGCTCACAAACACAAAATCGTTTTTATATTGCTATAAACTACCTAGAGATTCTCTTCAAAGGAAAATATTATTTGGCGAATTTATGTTAAAAGGGGAATTTCGCCGTAGTAATTATCAAAAAATCATTCTTCTAAATAAACTTCACTTTTCTCTATTTTTCCTTAATTTTTTTTTAATTTTTAAAGGATCTTTCTCGACTTAATAGAGACTTGAAAAAGGTTATTTACATTGATTGGGAACCTGCTGCTTTTCAGTTAAATCCAGAAAATGTTCTTTGTGTGCCTAAATGGAATGGAGATATGAACGATACTTCTTTAGTTGATTTGGCAGAATTACTGAAAAGTTTGGAATTTTTTTAAAACTTAAAAATTTTATTTTTAATTTAAGCAATTCATTTATCTGATGTTGAAGATTTTAGACCGGTTCTTCAATTTTATAGTCAATTTGATAATCCTACTGAAGAGTTTAGAAAAAGAGCAAAAATTGTTGGACAAGAGGTTTTTTAAATTTATTTTTGAAAATCGAAAAAAAATATTTTTGGGTATTGAGGTGGTTAAATGTTAATTAGGGTCTAGCTTGGTTATTTAAATGGTTTTTTCCTATACATGTTTGAGGAGGGGGGGGGGGGTTTAAAATATTTTTGGTTTTTCAAAATTTTTAAACGAAGCTTTAAAGGAAAATTAAAGTCATTGTCAGCTTTTGCAATTCCCATACAGATATTCTTAAAATTTAAGACAAATTAATTTTTAATTTTTTTTCAAATTTTTATTTTAGAATCAACAAGCAACATCAACTTCTCAATCAATAACATCTTCAGAAGAACCATTAAAGAAATATCGTGGTAGTTTATTTGGAGCAAGAAGGCATGCTGTTTAGAAAAAATAGTGGGAGATTAAATTGTTTTGTTTTTTTCAATGTTTCAAATCATCCAGTTAATTGGTTTTTTCTTTTAATTTTATTAAATTTTATTTTAAAAAGAATATTTTTATTCGGGAAAATTGTCTACCAATAGCGTATCTAAAATTGGTTAGCTACCCAGTCTCCGTTTTATTTTGTTTAACAAAGTTTTAAAAAAGTTTTATTATTTATAAATCTCATGTATGTAGGGGTAGGCCCAGATCCAATATTTTCTAACTTTTATTTGGAACAATTAAATTTGTGTTACCTAATTAGACTAAAATTCATGATTTTTCTCGAATATTCATCTTTTTTTCTCTTAATTAATTATCAGAGTGAAAATTCTTAAGAAAGAATTACAAATAATTTTTATTTCAAAATAAACCTTCAAAAATAATTTTGCGCATTTAATGACAATCAATAAAAGCTATTTTATTCTAAAACAGGTTATACATAGCCAAAAACCTCTTAATTTGTAAAATAAATTAGAAACATTTCCTTTTTAAGTTAAAAATGAATTTTAATTATTTAATTTTAACTTTATCAATTACTATTATTTTTAAATATTTATTTGCAATTAATAACAATAATATTCCAAATACTTTAAATAATCCAATAAAAAATATTTCCCTTTTTGAAGAAAAAGATGACAAAAAAATTTCTGCTTTAATGTTGGATGTATTTTTGCCTGGTTATTTTTTCTAATAAATTCCTTTTAAATTTTAATTTTGAAAAGGGTGGCGTGAATGTATTGATTGGAAAAAGGTTTTAAAAACTAGTAAATGATTTAACAAAAAATAATTAAAGGGTAGCCCTTCTTTGCAATGTGTGCCGTTTCCAAGTGAAAGACCTGTAAAATGTTCTAAAGAAATTTGGAATAAAGCTATGGTTGATATTGAGAAAGGAAAACTTAAAAATTGTTAAGGATGATTTTGTTGTTTAAGTTTTTTTTGGAAAATAATTCAAAAATATTTGTTTTGTGAGGAAGTCAATATTTAAGTAATTTAAAATCCGATTCAGTTAAGTGCGAACATACTTTTCTTATAAAATAGGCATCTACTTAATTTTGTCAGTTACCTATATTAAATTCTAACTTTTGTTGATCAAATCAGACGAATTTTGGCCTAACTCGAATTATTAAAAAAAAATTTTTTTTATTTTGAACAAAATAATTTTATAACATAAAATAATTAAAATAAATTAAAAAATATTTCTGAAAAAATTTTCTTCTTCTTCTTCCACTTCTTTTTATTTTCTATTCAATTTTAAATCCAAAATAGCATCTCCATCCAAAAACCATTTAATTGGTTGTTGATCTTCTCTTCTTTTAATTAAATTAGGTGGTAACAATAATTTATTATTATTTTCATTTTCAAATATTTGAGCAATAATTTTGGCCTTAGATTTCCCATTAGCAATAAAAATAATATTTTTTGCTGCATTCAAAACAGGTAAAGTTAAAGTAATTCTTTTTGGTGGAGGTTTAGGCGAATCATCTATATAAGCAATCCATCTATTTTTTTCTTCAAGTAATTGATGATTTGGAAATAAAGAACAAGTATGGCCATCTGGGCCTAATCCAAGAAGTAGAAGATCTTAAAATTAATTTTTTAAATTAAAAGTAGGATATAAATATAGATAATAAAATATATGGGTAAAAAATTTTTTTTGAGTAGAAAGATGAAACTAAACTTAATCAGAAATTCGAGTTAGGAAAAGCAAGGAATAATCGACAACTAATTTCTGAAACAGACAAAATTAATTTTAACGTTTGGCAAAAGTTAATTCAGATCAACTTTCCAAATTGCCAAAAATTAAGCTGAGAATTTTTTCTCTTCCTTTTTCAAAGCTGTCGGGAAATATTTCAAAATAATAATTTAACAATCAATTTTTGTCTTATCAAAAATGTACTAATTTTTTCATTAAAAAGCGAAAATGCCCTTTAATTATCACAAAATATTTTTACGCTATTTTTTTGAGGTAGTAGGAATTACCAAAAATAGGAAATCCATTATCATCAAGTTTTGGATTCATTAATCGAAGTTTATTCTCAAATTCTGAAGCCATTTTAGGTCCATCTTCTAATAAATTAGGTTCTTCAGAAATTTTTAATATTTTATTCTCAAATCTTTCTTTATATATAGATAATAAAATATCTATAATTCTCGTAAAAGACTGCCGGCATTGCTTTCTTCATTTTGTAAAGGCACTAAACGTTCATCGACAGGAAATAATAAAAGATTGGAAATTAACTTTAAAAAAAGTTTTTTTTACAGAAAAATTATTTTAATTTTAATTACATCATTTGAAAGTTCATTTAATAAAGGTGCAAGTAATTGAGGCATTGAACCGCCAGAAAATCCAATAAAAATATTTTGAGAAGAATTAGTATTCAAAACAGAAAGAATATTTTGTTTTAATAATTCGTTCTGGAAGCAAAATTAATTAAAAATTATTTTAAATTAATTTATTTAATTATTCACCGAATTTTCACAAAAAACCTTGTGAAAGCCAATTTTTAATAAACAAGAATCAATTAAATTAGTCATCAAAAAATAATGAGGTGGTAAATCTTTAAAAAATTAATTATCTAAAATAGTTAAACAATTTAAAGGATCAGCTCTGTAGTATTATTGAAACAATTCTTTATATTAATCCATGAATAAAATTCCAATATTTGTATATTATATTGGTTACATTTCTGATTTTTGTCGGTACATTTGTTCTTATTCTTAAAAATCGTTTGAATTACACTATAACAATGAAATATGTAGACTTAAATAATTTTCCTTTATATTGTTCACAATAAATGCGTTTCTGTCAAATACTTTTTGGGTCAGCCAGAGTGGTGAGGTCAAGCAGTTCCAGACTTGGGAGTCCAAAAGGTCGTCAAGCTTTCAGCCTAACTCAGGCTGCTATTGCAAGAATAAAAGAACTTATTCAACAAAAACCTGGTGCTAAAGCGTTGAAGGTTATTTTACTTGAAACAAAATTTCTTAATTTTTATTAAAGATAGGTGTTCAACAGAGAGGATGTAGTGGATTAACCTATACTTTAGAATATGCTGACCAGAAAGGAAGGCTTGATGAAGAAGTTGAGCAGGTTTAAATTAAAGTGTCCTTGAAACATTTTAAAGTAATTTTAGGATGGTGTAGTTATTTGGATTGATTCAAAAGCTCAGTTAACGTTAATAGGGTCTTAAATGGATTTTGAACGTTCTAAACTAGCTGCAGAATTTATTTTTCACAATCCAAATATAAAAAGTACTTGTGGTTGTGGTGAAAGTTTTAGCATGGATACACCAGCAATTAATATTACAGGTGAACCTCAAACAATTAAAGAAATAAAAAATGAAAATTTTATCAATCCTCAATACTGACATTTTTAATCTTTATTTTTGTGTAACAAAATAGAATTTACAATTAATATCACAAAAATTTATTTCAAATTAGTTTTCGTTAATTAAATACATTTAAATAACCGGTTTTTAACATATGCAATAAATTTTAATTTAATCAGTTAAATAGAAAAAATGAGGAGGGAAGGGCATAGATTTTAAATATTTTTAAAAAATTTTAACCGGTTTGGAAACATTCAACATTTTTTTAAAAAAACTTTCGAGTTCCTCTATTATTTGGTTGTCTCTAAATTATTCTTTATTTATCAAGCATCTTCCCAAACTTCAGCAAAATCAGGATTAAAAAATTTATTAATAATACAACTCTCTCTTATTTTTCTTTCAATAAGCTAAGAAATATTTTTAAACAACAATTCAAAAAATATTTTTTACATTAAAATCATGAATTAAATCCATAAGTAAACCCAAACGTATTCCAGTCTCCGCCACCTCCAATATTTACACCTCCATCTCCCCCACCTGGAATTCCACTAAATGCATTTTGCATGCAGGTAAAATATTTTGGAAAAATTTCGGAAAACGAACAGACTCGAAATAGGTCAAAATATATGTCATTCGAAAGAGCTCGTCGAGTTGAGTCGAATGGTGAAAAAATTTTCGTGCGGTCTCATACAGGGGCTGAGATATAAGCCCTTGAAAATCGAAAAACCATAGGGGGGACCAAGCACTTTTTTGGGGTGAAAAATTCGAATACACAAATAATAGCTCATTCGAAAGGGCTCGACGAGATGAGTTGAATGACACCAAAATTAGCTCGATTAGATGATTCTGAACAAAGTTATGACCAACAGAATCTTCGCTGGAAAAACTGTTTTTGTGCTGCTACGGAGGGTAGGCCGGGCATGGTCTTCGCTACACGATGGCCGTGCTCGCTTCGCTCGCGGCGACCGTAGCGAAGCGGCGGCCGTCGTTCCGCTCGACATGCCCGGCTTCCTCCGCAGCGGCAAAAACTTTTTTCCGCGGAGGCCTTGTGGAAGGGGTAAAAACAAACGGTCATAACTTTGTCCAATCACGTCCGATTTCGTTGATTTTGGTGTCATTCGACTCAGCTCGATGAGCTCTTTCGAATGAGGTATAATTTGCATTTTCGAATTTTTCACCGCAAAAAAGTGCTTGGTCCCCCCTATGGTTTTTCAATTTTCGGGGGCCTATATCTCAGCCCCTTTATGAGTCCGCACAAAATTTTTTTCACCATTCGACTCAACTCGACGAGCTCTATCGAGTGACATATATTTCGTCCAATTTCGGTTCTGTTCGTTTTCCGAAATTATACCTCAGACGTGATTGGACAAAGTTATGACCGTTTGTTTTTACCCCTTCCACAAGGCCTCCGCGGAAAAAAGTTTTTGCCGCTGCGGAGGAAGCCGGGCATGTCGAGCGGAACGACGGCCGCCGCTTCGCTACGGTCGCCGCGAGCGAAGCGAGCACGACCGCAGCGAAGCACGGCCATCGTGTAGCGAAGACCATGCCCGGCCTACCCTCCGTAGCAGCACAAAAACAGTTTTTCCAGCGAAGATTCTGTTGGTCATAACTTTGTTCAGAATCATCTAATCGAGCTAATTTTGGTGTCATTCAACTCATCTCGTCGAGCCCTTTCGAATGAGCTATTATTTGTGTATTCGATTCACCCCAAAAAAGTGCTTGGTCCCCCCTATGGTTTTTCGATTTTCAAGGGCTTATATCTCAGCCCCTGTATGAGACCGCACGAAAATTTTTTCACCATTCGACTCAACTCGACGATCTCTTTCGAATGACATATATTTTGACCTATTTCGAGTCTGTTCGTTTTCCGAAATTTTTCCCAAAAAGGATTATTTTTGATATTTTATACAAGTGCATGAACATGCAAAAAACAAGTAAAAAGGAGGATTATTTTTTGGTATTTAACAGGTATGATTTTTGAGAAGACTCATTTTCTAAAAAAATGGAACAATTTAAGAATTTCAAACCTTTTGATTTGAAAAAAATCTGAAGAAAAAATCAAAGAAAAAAATCAGAAGAAAAAATCAGAGAAAAAATCAGAAAAAAAGTCAGAAGAAAAATCAGAACAAAAAATCAGAAAAAAATCAGAACAAAAAAATCAAAAAAAAAATCAGAAGAAAATCAGAAAAAAATTCTAGGAAAAAATAATTTCGGGCGCCTATTCGTCCCGCGCCTATTCGTCTCGCGCCTATTTGTCTCGGCGCCTATTCGGCCGCGCCTATTCGTCCTGCTCCGCAGGTGGGGGTTGGGATCAGTTAAGTGTGGCCGGTCGAGTGCGGACATTATGAGAATTGGCCGGTTGATGTACCCATTAAATTTTCCGAGAACAGCGTCTCTCGTTCTCGGAACAACTTCTCATGTTCTCGGAACAACGTCTTCCGTTTTCAGAACAGTGCTCTTGGAACAATTCTCCCTGTATATAAATCAGCTGAGTCCTTGTTGTTTAAGCTGATTAAAAAGGATTAAGAGGGATATAGGAGGAGTTAGAGGATTTAAGTGAATATCAAGATGTGTGCGTGACATCGGCTGATCAAGAAGAATAACTGTGGAGTGGTATAAAGGGATTTTAAAGGATTAAAGGGGATACCCGTCCAAATCACCGGATATCACCGATATCCCATTTGATCCGTATACATCCAACTTAATCCTCAGACATCTCCCTATACCCTTAATCCCTCTATATCTCCTATATCACATAATCCTCATAAATCTCTTAGCTCACTTAAGCCTATACACTCATACCGTCTTAATCACTTAAAATCCCTCAATTCTTACGACATTTTAACACTAAAAATGAAAAAAATTTTTCTCGAAAAATCCGGAAAAAATTCCGGATCCGGTCCGGAATCGGGTAAATTCTGTCGGACTCCGGAAATTATTTTTACCGGATTAAAACCGGACCGGATTAATCCGGAAAAATCCGGCCGGATCCGGTCCGGCATGAGTGTGAAATTCAAAATCCGGTTTCCGGACCCGGAAAAATGATTTTGCCGCGCACTAGTAAATATGCGTTTTTTCTCATTAAATTTACCCTCCATTGACCTTAATTTGACCTAAAGTTGTATTAAACTAAACTTTAGTAATTGAAAGTAAATTTGTTATTGAAAGATTGTGTTCATTAATTGAGTTAACCTCAACTAGAGTTTGAGAGAAAAATATAAATAAAATAAATGTTAGAACCTTGGACCTTAATACAAGTATATATTTATAATATTTAATTTAAAAATAAATAAAGGAAACAATGTTTTTATTTTTAATTCTTTTATTCTTAATAATATTATCATTTTGGAATTTTATTTGGAAACGTCGTAATTTACCTCCAGGGCCAACTCCTTTACCAATTTTTGGAAATGCTTTTGCAATGGATAGGTTACGTGAGAAATAATAGGTGTTTCTTCGGTTCTACTTGACTTTATGAGTCCAATCGAACTTTATGAGTCCAATCGATGTTTATGAGTCCAATCGAACTTTATGAGTCCAAATAAAACTTTATGAGTCCAATCAAGATTTATGAGTCCAAACAAAACTTTATGAGTCCAATCAAAATTTATGAGTCCAAACAAAACTTTGAGTCCAAACAAATTTTATAAATCCGACATGTCTTATTATTCTAAGTAAAAACTGTGGCTCTACTACGGTTTATGATTCCAATCACAGCTTATGAGTCCAATCGGATTTTTGTGAGCTACGAGGGTAGGTCGTCAGATCAAAGCTGGTGATGAAAAAAGGGATAGGTTTATGTTGCCGAGCCAGAACCCAGCGACCGTTGACTCCCGTGAGGCGCGTGTGAACCCCGCGCGAAGCGCGGGGTTTTGCACAAGCGCCTTGCCTATGTTCCATAGGTCTAACAACATAATCCTATTTATTTTAATGTATTATTTAATAAATGTATTATTAATAAAATCGAATATTATGTGATTGGACTCATAAAATTCCTATGGACTCATAAAGTTTTATTTGGACTCATAAATCTTGATTGGACTTATAAAGTTCGATTGGACTCATAAACATCGATTGGACTCATAAAGTTCGATTGGACTCATAAAGTCAAGTAGAACCGTTTCTTCTCTTTTTAAGCTTCTTCTTAATTTAACTCTCTCTTTAAATTCAAGTTCAAGCCAATTCAAATAAATATTTATTTTAAAGAGGCAATACAATTCAAATAACAAATTAAAAGGAATAATAAAAAGGGGGAACGAACACTCAAAGAACAAACTTTTATAAAAATGAACTATTTTGGGAAAAAATGAATTTCTTAAATAGGAACATAAAAAGGGATAAAATGTCATTTATTTATTTAAATTAAATTAAAGTCAAATTGAGTCTAGGTTCACCACATCTCCACCTTCTAAAAAGACGAGTCCCTCGGCTTTGAATCGGCTGCGAAAGGGGTGGTTCATAAACGGTCACGTGATCTGCTTCCTTCATAACGTCTAATCCTTTCAAAGACAGAACGCCTAGGGGTTCGGTCGCCTAGACCTCGCCCTCTTCGATTTTCATTCCCATGCCAACGGCTTCTAGGAGTTTGGTCGCCTAGACCGCGCTCCCTCCGATTTTCATTTCTCATTGAGTTCCTTCCACTTCTTTCATTTCTCGGAACAACAATTTTTGATTTGACGTTTCGAACGCCTAGTTCATGAACTGGCATTAGGTTTGCCTTCAATGTTTCAATTTGTGTATCGGCTTTAAATGACCGGCTCTTAAACTTACCACCTCTCCCCTCCTCGTATTTAGATAATTCCGTCCTCGGAATTGTTTCAAGAGTTTTTCTATCTTCTTTCCCTTTAAATTCTCCTTTTAGGTTCAAACATTTTTCAATTCCTTTTATCAATATTGAATATTTCAATTTTAAATTCTCATTTTTGTCTCTCATCTTAGCCATTTTCTTCTTTTCATAAATTCTTGAAATTCTCAATTTTCTTCCTTCAAAATACGATTCACTTGATTCAAACGCATTTTTAATTGAAGCTGGATCAATAAATTCGATGTAACCAACTCCTTTGCAAAGTCATCAAATTCAACACTCAATGTTTGGATCCGTGTCTTATAAATGACTCTAACTGCATCCGTGTTTTGATCTCCTTTTTCGTTTCCAAAATCAATTAAATCACTATTTGGAACGTCTAATAATTTAAATCCCAATTTGCCTAGTGAGTTTGTGCCGAAAAGTAAATCGTAGCCAAATGGAGCATCAGTTATGTGAAAACAAGTTTTAATTTCTTCTTGGTTTTAACGCTTTATTTCCAGCTCAACAATTCCATGGCATTCTAGCTTTTGTCCATTAACATCAGAAATCTTTGTTTTGGCTCTCGAAAATCCAATGTTCTTTAGTTCTATCTCTTTGTCTTTAAGCATTTTTAAAAGAAAATTTGAGCTTATTAGCGAAATTTGAGCGCCTCCATCTAGCATTCCTGTTGCGGGTAAACCTTTTACGTTAACTTTGATTGACATTACTGGGCCTATGGAGTTCTTTATTATCTCTGCTTTTGCTTCTTGCTCAGGAATTTTCTTAAGCTCTTCTTTAATTTCCAAAATGTTTATCCCACAAGAGTTGACGTGATTTTTAGGGATTTCGTCATGGATAGTTATGCAACCGTTTTTAAGTTGATTGCCTGATGGTGGGAGTGCTCTTGGTTGGCCATTTCCTCGCCAAACTGCTGCGTTTCTATTTGGCTCGTTAATATTATTTTTGGTATTCATAAATGTTCTATTAGCTCCAGTAGCAGCTGCCACGTTGTCTTTCGACATATATTGATTATTTCGATTAGTTAAGCAATCGCGTGAGAGATGACCTGGTTTTCCACAGTTAAAGCAGGTAATTTCATTTCGAGGGGTAAAATTATTATTACGTTGTGAGAATTGTTGGACAGGAGGTTTAGACTGGAAGTTAATATGACGAGTCGCTTTCTGTGTCGATTCTGCTCTAGCTGCCAGAGAAACGAAACTGTCAAAACTCATCCTGTCTTGTCGAGCTATTTCAAGATTAAGTGCAAGGTTTGAGTCACCGATACTTCTTATCAAATGCTTTATTGAGTACTCATCCAACAAATTATTTGTCATCCCTGGGTAAGCTCGTTTGACTAAAGATGCAATTCTATTAGCCAGTGAATCAATATTCTCGTTTTCCCGTCTCTTAACTCCGGACATAAGTTCGTCGAATGCACAAATTTCTTTTGTGTCTGTCGTTTCGAGAATACGGAGCATTTCGCGTCGAACCGATGAATAAATAAACGGAGAATTTCCTAAAGCGGTATTAAAAGCTCTTTCCGCTCTTCCACTGATTTTAGACTCCAAGGCTTTTAATCGTACAACATCTGATATCCCTTCAGTTGCGGAATCGAATTTTTTGAAGAATGTCTTGATTTGATCTACACCTTCAGGACCTTTCAAATCTGGAATTTTGTCTAAAGCCCACGACAGAGACATTCTATCAAAGCTGTGCATGAACCCAGCGAAATCAGTTGTGGGTCTTTGGTTAGTTTCACTATTGATCGGTGGCTGCGCCACTTGTGTAACAGGCTGCTGGAAAGTTTGTTGGGGCTGAGTTTGGTGAATATTGTTAATTTGAGGTGGAAAATTTTGCGGATTATTCGTCGGAATTTGCGAATACTGCATGAACTGTGGGGGATACATGGGCATTAACATAGGCATTTGACAATTTGGAAATTGCGCATACATTTGCTGATTTGGGAACTGCTGAGTCATAACAGGCATGTTCGGGAATTGCTGTGTCATAATAGACATGTTCGGAATTTGGTAAGGAAAACAAATATTCTGTGCATTATTATGTGCTGGCGAGGTTTGAGTTTCGTTTGTTCTCATAACATTTTCCTCCCCAATTTTTTGTTTATTATTTTTATTACCGTTCAACAGTTGCTGTTCCTCTTCAGGTGTCAAAGACGACAGAGCATTTTCTCCCATTTCACTTTCAACATCAAGAATATCATCCATTCCTGAATTTTGAATATTAGAAGAATTTTCAGTAGCTTCTTTTTCTATAGCTTTATCTTTCGCCCTATTTCTTGTTAAAACAGGGGAACGGACTATCATTAATTTTCTATTAACTTTGTTTATGCTCACCTAGAGCTTTTGATGAGTCACAAAAAAATTCAATTCAAAGTTTCCAAAGTTGTGCCCACCTAGGGTCTTTTGTTGAGTCAATTTGTTTGCAGCAATGAAATCGATTGACTGCCAAGGTCAACTAAAATTAAAAAAAATTTCGTTTTCTTGTTTGTTTCTTTTTATACCCACCTAGGGTCTTTTGCAGATTTTTAAAAAAAATTGATTTTTCACCCGCCTAGGGTTTTTGTTGAAGAAAATAATTAAAGTTTTTCAAGCTCGCCTAGAGCAAAACTTTCTAAAATTTAAAATTTTAAGTCGAAGCTCGCCTAGAGCTGTTTAGGTGCTCGCCTAGAGACTTTAATTCAATAAGATAAAAATTTGTTGTTGCTCGCCTAGAGCCTTCAAATCACAAAATTCAAAATCGATCTCGAGACCGTTGAAAAATTTTAGAAAATTTTTCTTCTCCAGGAGCGCCACGTGAGAAATAATAGGTGTTTCTTCTCTTTTTAAGCTTCTTCTTAATTTAACTCTCTCTTTAAATTCAAGTTCAAGCCAATTCAAATAAATATTTATTTTAAAGAGGTGTCGCTAAAAGCGACTTTTAAATTTATTCTTCAAAATATTTTTTTTAATAATTTTTAAATTCTTTGAAATTTATTTTTTTTTTATTAAAAATGAATCATCCCAACATTTTTGGTTATTCAAATCCCGCCTATGTTTTTTGAATTTTTGTTATCAAACTCAAACCACGCCTATTTTTTGTCGCATCTTTTTTAAATTCACGCCCTAAATTTTGCTTTATAATCAATGAATTTCATAGGCTTAACATTCACTTTTTCAATCTTTTAATATTTCTATTTCAAATAATCCTTTAAAATTATTAAGTTTTTCTATTAATTTTTAAATTATATTTTAAAAAATTTGAATAAATCTTTTGAAATTAAAATTGATTTTAAACTAGACTAAATTGAAGATAAAAAAGGAAAGGACTTGAATAAAATAGAACTTAGAATTGTCCAGCAAAATAATATTAAAATAAAATTAAAATATTAAAATTTTAATTTGTTTTGCGACAAAGTGGAGCCCCGTCAAAAAGTATTGAATTTTAAATTGTTTCTCATTTGAAAGGAAAATTGTTCAACCATTTGTAAAACCTTTTGATAAACTGTTTGTTTGCTCTATTGCTTTAATAATTTAAATCAAAGTTAAACATTTGATCAAAATGTCAGGACCTTATAAAAGAATGATTGGTACAGTTTTAAGGCGCTTGATAAATCGAATTGAAAATACAGAACAAATTATGAAGAAAAAAATAATAGATGATGAAGAAAAAGAATCAATTACAAGTGATGGAAAAAGTATTATAAAAATTTTAAACACGCTTGAAGAAAAGAATCAACTTTGGCTAAATTTTATAAATAATTTAGATATAAATGATAGAGAAACCGAGACACTAGCTTATGATAATTATATTGTAGATAATAAACATTTTTATGAATGGATAGAAAAAGGTAGAGAAACCGCAGATTTTATTGAAGAACTTGTTTATCAAAGAAAATCTGATGATTCTGAAAATAATTCTATAGTAACACAGATAAATCATTCTGAAACAAGGGAATTAACTGTGCAATTACCTAGACTTCAGTTGCCAGAGTTTAATGGAGATCCACATCATTGGATTTCTTTTTGGCAAAGTTTTGAAAGCTCAATTGATAAACAAAAATTTAGTCAAATTGATAAAATGAAATTTTTGCTTAATTGTTTAAAAGGAGAAGCAAAAAATGTCGTATCAGATTTGATGTTGTCTAATGAAAATTACCAAATTGCAGTAAATACATTGAAAGAAAGATTTGGTGATAAAAATATACTGATAGAAGCTTTAGAATCTGAATTATTTCATTTACCTACTTGTACAGAAAAATCAATTTCTTTGAAAAATACAGTCGATAAAATTGAAAAAATATTTAGACAATTAGAAAGTATTGGAGAAAATACAAATAATTCGATTATGACCTCACTAATAAGGTCAAAGCTTAATAGAAATATTTTAATGGAAATTGCTAAAGAAGAAAAGGCTTCTGGCAGAAAATGGGACACTAATGAATTAAGAAAAGCTTTAATTGGAATGGTTAATATTAGAGAATCAGTTTTTCAATCATCAAAACATTTCCAGTTTTCACACCCGAACAATCATAATGAAATAAATCAAAAATTTCGAAATAATGAAAATTTTAAAAGATTTGATAAAGTGAATCAAACTAGAACTTTCCCTGTTATTACACATGCAAAAAATATTGTTTGTTATTTTTGTAATGGTAGTCATTGGACTAATTCTTGTACAAAAGTCTTGGGCCTAGAGGAACGCAAGAAGCGTTTAATTGATCAAAATAGATGTTTCAGATGTCTTCGTATAGGACATATTTTAAAAAATTGTCGTATAAGAAGGAATTGTTCATATTGTAATGGGAATCATAACTCAGCTATATGTCCTAAAAGAAATTTTGAACAGGAAAAACAACCAGACATACAAATGAATTGTGACTGAGAAAATAAAACCTGTACATAAAAATAAAGTTTTCGAAAGAAAAAATTGGAAAAGCAAAACTTCTTGTTGCCAAATTAAAAATTCAATTGAAAAACAAACTGAAGAACCTAAAAAAGAAGAAATTGTTAAAACTCAAAACATGTCCATTAATACTTATAGTTCTTTGATAGAACCTTGGAATCCAATGTTAATGGTTTTAAAAGTAAAAGTTTTTTCCCCTGAAAATGAAAATAACAAAATTGATGTTTTTGTTTTTCTTGATTGTGGAAGTGAAGTTTCTTATGTAACTGATGAATTGACTAAAAAATTGAAACTTCCTAAATTAGGAGAAGGCTTTCTTGAAATTTACACTTTTCAAGGAAATAAATCAGAAAAACAACGTTCTGGAAGATATTTACTTGGCATTGAAAGAAAAAATGGTAAAAATGAAATGTTAGAATTATTGAGCATAAACAAAATTGCAAATGAATTGCGCTCTGTTACAATAAATGAAGTTTCTGGACATTTAAAAATGAAAGATATAAAAGATAATTTAGTTTCAAATTTTGGGAAACCCGATTTATTAATTGGAGTAAAAGATTTCTGGAGATTCTTTATTAAAAAGACTGAAATTTGTAAAGGTTGTTATTTAGTCAATACTACAATTGGGAGTGTAATTTGTGGTGAAAATCAAAGAATTTCATTAGAAAAAACGATCCCTATACAGACTCACATGGTTGTTAAATACTTTGAGGACATGCCTAATGAATCGGAAATAAAATCCTGGTGGGACTTACAAAGTATTGGTATCACCGAAAATCCTGAAGAAAATGAAGATGAAACTGCTCAGGAAATATTTGATAAATCTATAAAACAAATTGATGGTAGATATAGAGTAAAATGGTTATGGAAAGATGAAATACCCGATCTACCTACGAATTTTGGAATTGCTTA